AACGCAGAGGCCGGGCCTACTGCTAGAAACGAGCTGAACGAGTTCAGCTCGGACGCAATCAACTTCGTGCAGCGCAGACAAGCCGTCATTCGGTTTGTACAAGACGCTATCGCAGCTTCTGTCGACCGACAGAAGCTGAACGCAGACAATGTTGGTAGGGGCAACACTAATGAATTCAAGAAGGGTTCATTGGTTTTGTTAGCAACTCAAAACCTGCCTAAACATGCAGTTTCCGACTTCGGGGCGAGCAAGCTCGCTCCGCGCTTCATCGGGCCGTTCACGGTGTTGGCACGGCATGGCAACGCCTACACGCTAGATATTCCATCTAGCATGCGCCTCCATCCGACCTTTTACGTCGGGCGGCTGAAGCCATACCGGCAGCACGAGCCACCTAGCTCGGCTGGCCCGAAGCGGAAGCCCCAGCGGGAGCGAACCTCTGCTCCAGCGCGTGAACGCGCTGGGCCAAGCGTGCGACGCGACCTCCCACGTCGACAGAGATGTCCGACGCGGTCTGCGAGGCCTGAGCGACTTGAGCCCTCAGGATCGCCACCTCCTGCTTCAGAGCGGCGAACTCCCGGCTCTGATGCTGCTCCACAGCAGCGACCCGCTCCTCGAGCGTCGGACCAAGGTTAACCCCAAGTTGACCATACCCGGGGCGTGTTCCCACCACCGCCGCTTCCGATCCGCGACGCCCGCGGCTCAACACGCTGGATTGTTGAGCGTATTGTGAACCATAGTATCCCGAAAACGAACCGGCAGCCGGTTCGTTATCGTATTCGTTGGAGAGGGTTTCCGCCCCACCAAGATACATGGGAGCCACGGGACGTCCTGCTGCAGGACGTTCCGGAAATGGTGAGGGCGTACGAAGCTCACCACGCACTGCCGACGCGAAGGTAGTGCGAGCGCTGTGGTCACCTACAGCGCCCGAGGTCCCACGATCGTCGCGTTCCTCGCGTGCCAAGAACTTGGCACGGAGATCCTTGAGACTCTCAGGTACACGAATCGTCGTGTACCCGTTTAGGTCGCGGTCGCTCAAGTGCGCTGCACCCGGAAGACACAACGTGCACTGTTGGCCTTCGGGCACAGCGCATGGAATACCAGCGTCCACAGAGGATCTGTGGAGCTGCTCCAGCCTCCCGCGCGTCGAGTCTTGGTCACGCCCCACATTGAGTTGGCCTCCATGGCAATGGGAACGTGCGTGGATAACATGGAATACAATGCGTATGAAGTCTGAAGTACTTGTGAACCAGTACAGCAATGCAATTGGAGTTCAACCATTTTGGGTCCAGTGATTGGGCAAAATCCCAGATAATGGCATATGATTGGCTAGTGGTGAATCATTGCAAATCTTCCGAAGAGCAACCTGTAACACTTCAACGCGTTGAAGTTGGTGAACCATCTCTGGACCACATGCGACGAGGCAGATCGACTGGAGCAATGAAACGTCGAAACCTGCAGCGGTGTTGGTAAGCTTGGGGGGCAGTGTGATGATGGCATGCAGAGCTTGCACATCGCATCCGCAACAAGCATATCCAACCCGCAGCAGGACTAGTGGTGACCTCCCTGAACAACCATAGTGAGGCAGATCTGAGCGGGCATCATGGACGGGAATACAGGCAAGACACGCAAGGATTCATGTTGGACTAATCTGTATCCAGTAACTGCACCTACAGCTCTACCTGGGCTGCCGCAACGGCAGGAGAGAGCGCTCACAAACTAGCTAAGGTAGTTTACTTTGCATTTTGCATCTACGCTGATTAGTACACGTTGGCTTAGTGGGAGTCCCAGCTCCCAAGTATCGTGACCACGTCACAGAGGCCGACCGTCGGCCTACCCGTCTCGGGGTCGGCTTGCTGCTGCTGAGGCACCTATCGCTGAGCTACGGTAACAAGCGTAAGCTAAGAATATCGCTCATCAGCGACGTGGTGCCGAAGACCAGCGAGCAGCGCTGATCTCGGCAATGATTCCTCGCAGCACTCGTGTCCAAATGCAACGACTACGGAATTTTCGAAATGCTCTCCAGCTTGTCTCGGACAGGCTATATTCAGTTACCGGGGCCAGGTGTTCGGCTTCAGTAATACCGGCTTCAGGTACCGAGGTGCCGCCTAATTAATCTGTGTTGGGCTGGCCACAGCACTCCCTCCGGGGTTACTGCTATCCCAGAATAATAAATCAACTACATGTAATCTGGCAGTTGACTTATTATCAAATCTTCGTAACCTTACATTGGCTTATGGATACCACCGTACCAACAAGGAACAGCTACACTGTACCTGCGCTCTGTTGCGCATCATGCAATTTATCAGATATTATGGGTAACAACAGCTCTCTAGCTTGGTGGACCTGGCATCACCACCACACAGACTGAAATTCTTGATCGACGCAGTCTCGGGACTACCCGTGAATTAGTCCCGGTGTGACAACGATTAACACTCGGTCCCATGAATATGTCTCTTGCCAGGAACACAAACACTGTTGAGGCCCTGGCTAGAATAGCGCTTTGAACTAATAATCCCATTGAGGTCATTGCGCACTTATTCGCATGCTACCATCTCATCAATAGCATAGGGAAATTGTGTGGCATTGCGGCGACGATGTGCCTTCATCTCGTGCGAAAACAAAATGAACGGGTGGCCAGCACACTAATCACTACAGAACCCACTTGGACAAGCCGTAGCACACGTCCTGAAAATGCTTGGTCCAAACTAGAAACCCTAGCCTGGGAAACACTAAGAACGTGTGCTGGCACCTGAACAAGGGCTGGTAGCGACTTGTAGAACACATTCTCTAAATCATATGCTTCACTTACCATACTGATACGTAGATCTTTGTATGGTGCCTATTTAAAGATTCCCAAAGTGCCGATTTCAAGTCCAAATGGGTATTAGGCACAATATCCTAGTTTGTTGATGCATGCATACTGTATCATGCGTCCCCCGAAACAACACCTCAATTATGGCCATAGCCAAACGTTCCCCTTGCAGACAGATACCGAATTCAGAATAATATTTGAGCCAATGAGATGCTTCGAACTTTGACTCCCTTTTCAGATTCAGATACAGAAGAAACCACATTCACGGGGTGCGTCAGGTTAGGACTTTAGTCCTAAATCCTAATATGAGTCAAATTAGGACCTCAAAAAAGTTAAGATTAGGACTTTCGCTTGTTTGACTTGATTAAAGTATTATTGTACCACAAATTGTGCGATACGACGAAAAGGTGGTACACTATAGTGAACTCAAGTTAACAGATATTTTTGTCCTGCGGAATGCCGTGTCCGATTGAGGTCAAGCATTCGTGCGGGCAGCTAACACTTAATTCGCTCGCGCACAACCAAACGTGTGTTAGCGAATGAAACCATGGCCTGCCAAATGACAATGAGATCCCCAAAGTCAGCAGCGCAAATACACTATATCTGGGCTTACACAGTATAGATCGGGGACTGAGACGATGAGGAGTCAGTAAGATCCACCAGCTTTGGTAAAGGGAGGAGTTTAGAAGTGCTGTGGGGGCTTTTACGAAGGTAGTATGAGATTATACTCAAGTAGCGGGGTTTCGCCCTTGTCAACCTTCAAGTGCACATGTAGCCATCGTATCCCGTTAGAACTTCTAAGAACTTCATATTAGGCAGGCCTCCCAAATTGGGGGAAATGGGGACCATTTCCCCCACTATACCCTGTTAGGTGAATTCATGTTGGCAAGCTATTTTCAGATCTTGATAAGCATCGAGCTCATTCAGACCCCAAACAAACAGGAACATACCCAGGTGGAAGCGTGTTTCTCCGGTAATGGATCGCCCCACTCATCACAAATATTGTCAAATTTCCGTAATTGGTGGTATTGGCAAGTAGCATTTAAGCTCAAACGGACGGCGAGCTGACCGCCGTTGGTCTGTAGGCGATGCTACAGAAGAATGCAAGTTTAGGAGCAGTTTTATCATAGGCTATGTTAATAAATTACATACTTAATTTAAGTAAAGCGGCGCCAATATAAATACGTAAGCCCTACCGATCAAGCAAAGTTACAGAGCTAGTCAAAACTTTTATCACGATTAGTGATATATAATTCTTTCACTGACATTCGTTTCTAGCTAATTCGTATGCGGATGAACCGTAGCACTTTGAATATCGTAGGTTGAATCCAAATTAGCACCGGCTATGCCAATCCCTAAGATATTTATCTTACTTTCACTATCGTCCCCCACCATACCCATTTTAAATCCTCAAGTCGTCCCCTATTAATCTAATTGGGGAAATGCAGGATTTCCCCGAATTAGGGAGGCCTGATATTAGGATTTTTGCCCGACTAAGTACGAAAGTCCTTACCTGACGCATCCCGCACATTCAACGCAGATGGAAGAGCGGTAACGTTACAGGGATGGCAGGCACGCTGCGCCTACAGGCAATGCCGAACTCGTTGAGAGCTGGGGCAGTGATGAGCCGAATTGGGATCTATGATGCAGTTCTATGCGACTGGTGTCTAATGGGGGCTATCGTATTAGCAGTTTTGCTCAGGGAAGCACCGAAGCAAGACTGTGTTGCGTCGGTTAGATTTGTGTTGCGTCGGTTAGATTTGTCGAAGATCCTAGCACCGCCCTAGGCCCCCGCTATACACAAACTTGGGTGCACGCATCAACAACGCTTTCTACTTGCTTGAGGACCCACAAGGGCGGCGGTGGTGGGTCTTAGTGGCACGCAATACGCAGCGATCTCTTCCGCCAAGGCGCTCGTGCACCGGCGGCTTGCCGCCGATCTTCGCGCAAAACCTGCCGAGTGTAATCCACACCATCTGGATTGCACATGCTCACGGGGCTACCGAGTGAACATCTTAATTCCGATCAATTTGGGCCAATGAGAGATCGATTTTGCTAAGTTTTCTTGCTGAATCCGGCATCTGTGAGCAATTCTGACTACCATTGAAGAAACCGACATACAAAAGCTACAAAATGACATTAACTATCGAGACTGCAAACTCATCAGGAAAACCTAATTGATCTGCCCAGTTAACCTACAATTCACCTACAGCAGCATCGCACCGGCCGCCAACACGAAAGTCGACACGAATCCCGCAGTCACCGTCGTCGCGCTGCTGGAACCCGTGGTGCTTCCTCCGACGACCTTGTCACTGTTCGAGCCGGAGTCGTCACCCACATTGGCAGCGCCTGAAGACCTCATCGACCCGGAGGACCCAGCGTCAGTGGAGCCCGTAGACGTCGATGATGCACTGCTGCCGCACGCAGCAGCCACACGGTCGAGCACATCAGTTTGCACCGTCACGCTTGAGCCTGGAATGGTGCAGTCACCGAGATCCATGGCCGCTACGTCGGCCATTAGTCCGAGGCACGCCGTGCTCGTGCAAATGGTCGAGATATGGGAGTCTGTCAACGTCGAGATGGTCGCCACACTGACACCCGTTTCGGTCTGGCACGTGGCCAGGTTCGTGTTGCTTGCGAGGCCAAGCAACGCTTCGGTGGGGCAGTCGGCAGCGCGAACGGGGCTGGCCATGGCGAGGCCGAGCAGGACGATCGAGGTGAACGACGGCATCTTGACTGGAACCTTGGAGAAGATTGGCCGGACCGGAGTGTGCTACTCGAGGTGAGTTGAGGAATGAAGAAACTGGGGCACGGTGCGACTGGCGGCGCTGTGCTCGCCAGAAGCGTGATGGTGTTCGAACACATCGAGGAAGAGGGTGCGGGTGTGTTCCGGGGAACTGGCCATGTGGCTGGGGCCTCAGCTAAGCAAGAAACAGCAGGGGTCAGATCGCGTCGCTGTTTGTGGTTGCGGTCGGTGGCGACGGTCCCACGCGCGAGAAACTGATCGCTGGACTGTTATCGTTTTCTCTAAACCGTCAGTAGATGTCTCTTGTCGTTGGGCTCCATGAACATTCTGTCCCAGAGTCACACGCATAGGAAGGCGTTGAGATCGATGCGTTGATTCAACCGTCCAAAACGTTCATTAAAGTTGATTTCATGGTTCATTCAAGCGCTTTGCTTATCAGTTCACCTTCGTGAGCGAACAAGGAGAAGGCGTCTTGAACCATACCAGCTGCAGAATGCTGTAGTATGGAGCGTAGCGACTAAGACAGTAGTCGCTGGTAAAAGTGCAGGTGGCGATCTTGTACTTAGGCAAAGGCAGCTGCAACCGCGAGGACGACCGACCCGAGAGCAACCGAGACCGATCCAGCGGACGACGTACTCGAGGCACTCGGAGCCTGCGTGCTCGAAGTCGAGTTGCTGCTGGTCGCTTTCGAACCGGTCGTAGCACCCCCAGTAGAACTACCAGCCGCAGAGCTGGTTGCAATGCTGCCAGTGGAGCTTGTGGCTGTGCTGCTGACAGTGTCATGCGAGTCGTGGTCGTCGTCGTCACCGGCGGCAGCTGAACCAGAAGCTGAGGAAGCGATGTCGTGCGAATCCTCCATCTCGCTCGACTCCGTTGCAGTCGACGAAGATGTCGCATCATGGGAATCCTCCATCTCCATCGAGCCCAAAGAAATCTCCATCGTGGATCCGTGCTGGTGCGATCCATCAGCCGCTCGCAGAGCTCTGGTGGCGCTGCACACGGCCTTGATGGGGTTAACGACGCTCTGACGAAGACCTTCACCGTCGATTGAGCACTCCCCGATATCTTGCAGAGCTTCAAGGACATGTCCACAGGACTCATCCGCACAGAACGACTCCAAGTTGGTAACGATGGCGTTGACCGTAGACTCGACAGGAACCACGAAGTTGCTCCCGAGCTTGCAGCTGGAGGCATCAGCCGAGTTGGCAATCGCGGCCAACTTGCTCACGCCGCAGTTGGCAGCGTTCGTGACTGCGAAAGCAGCGAGCAGAAGTGAGGAGATGGCAGCCTTCATGTTGAAGTGGTGGGGGTAGTGTTGACCGGTGTGCTTGCGGGGGCAAATTGCAGAATGACATGTTGCAAGCACAACGATTGAGATAGAGAGCTCTAGAAGTCTTTGCCTTGGAGGCTCCGACAGATTTCCGACCCCATGCTTGCGTGGGGATCACCTAGGCACGCGTTGGTATGTGCATTCCGCAATAAAATGGAGGCGCGCCGAAGCACGCTGAGCACGCGCCAACTTGACGCATGTGATCTGTAACAAACGCGTACACACTCGGTTCGTGTGATGGCTACCAACTCGGATGGTAATTCGTTTCGATGACCGAGCACGAGCAATGTTGCATGGCGTTGGAAGCAACTTGCATCCGATTTCCACCGGCAAAAAGCAGATTTTCATCCAACATTTTCTGTTCGCATGGACCTCTAGAATCCACCGTCGCACGCTGCTGGATATTCAAGGCCGTCAATAGAATTTAAGCACGATTTCGGCTGGCATGTCGACAGGAATGCGCACACAAGGCACGCTGCCTCGGATATGAGCATGAAGTCGACGTTGGCATAGGCGAGCAAACGAGCAAAATGTGCACAAGTATCTTAAGCCTGTATCCATCTTTTCAGTATCCAATTACCCTCCAAACTAGATTTGTTATCTTACACCGGATCCCATCCTTTTACCTTTCACCTCGTATACCCCGTGCATCCCGATTTCAACCATCACTCCTCCCCCACATCCATCCTCTCGTCCTTGTCATTCCGCAATCCACACGAAGACCCCGAGGAGAGGAGAGGAGATCAGCAGCAGCAGCTCGACGCCATGGCGACCGACAAGTCCGACGTGGACGTGCTGACGTCCGTGCTGTCCGCCATGACGGTGCGCCACCACGACGAGAACCTCGTGACGCAGCGCCCCGCCGCCACGCTCAAGGAGATCCTCGAGAAGATCCGCGCCAACAAGGACCAGATCCGCGAGCTGGACCTCAAGGACATGGCGGCCAAGAAGCGCAAGCTCAGGCCGGCGGGCGGGGACCTCGTGGGCCGCGTCTTCCAGCTCAACCGCACGGTGCTGCGGCTGCTGCTGCCCGACCACGACATCGAGGACGTGGGCGCCAAGGCCATGGGCAACATGCTGCGCGCCAACAACACGCTGCAGCACTTGGACCTGCGCGGCAACGAGATCACGGCCGAGGGTGCGGCCGCCATCAGCGACGCGCTGTACGGCCACGAGTCGCTGGAGCACCTGGGGCTCTCCAGCAACAAGCTGGGGGACGCTGGCGCCAAGGCCATTGCCCAGGTTCTGCCGTATAATATCTCGTTGAAGTACCTGGGCCTCGCCAATAACGGCATTGGCGAGGAGGGCGGTAAGGCTTTGTTGGAGGCTATTCTGCAGAACAGGTCGCTGGTCATGGTGCAGCTGGTGAAGAATGATATCCCCAAGGAGATCCTGGACAAGATCCGGTCGGCCCTCGTGGTGAACAAGCTCATGGAGCAGAAGGCTAAAAGGGACGAGGAGAGGGAGAAGGAGCTCGCTAGGTTGAGGGAGGAGGTGGCGAACAACCAGGACGAAGACAGCTCCAGCGACGAAAGTGAGGATGACGAGTCCCTCTGGATTTAGAGTGGGGGCGTGGAAATTGTGAGCATCCCCTTGCGATGGAGTGGTGCCTACTGGTAGCTGAGTTGAGTATGTGCAGAGCTGAGAATGAAGTGATCTCTAGTTGTAACGTTTGGTGTGGGATGTATGTAGCTTGCTGGACTGGATTAGTTCGGTGAGAACAGTGGACACATGTAGATTTATCCTTTCGTGGGGCTTCCACACTATGAATCCCTACGTTGATTCGTGAGATTGCAGAAGTATGGCTAGCTCCTTGTAATGCGGTGTCATTTCCACCGTCAGCCGCTTCGAAGCTGTGACCTTTCGCAGTCTAGATCTTCATGGACGAGAATGTGGCGGCGCGTCCGCAGGCGCGAGATGCCGATGGGAACGCCTTGATGTCGCTCGAGGAGCTGAAGGAGGGGATGTTCCAGTCCATTCGTGACAACGGCACGGTGGAGCTTATTCGGGTGGGTGCTTGGCTGCCATCGAGGTACGAGTCCGAGGAGCTAACCTTTGTTCGCACAGGCGCAACTACGTCGACGATTCATCGAGAAGTTGCAGCAGCAGCGTCGGCTCCGAGATGACCAAGATGGCGAGAATAATGCTAGTCGAGCGAATCGATCCACTCAAAGCTTAACACCAGATGAGAAGCTTGTTCATGGGCTGGTGGCCGAGTATCTGGCGAGTAAGGGTCTGGAGAACACGCTTGCCGTGTTCGTCCCGGAAATTGGCGGATCTCGGAATCAAGTCGACAGTGCAACGATACTGGAGGTGAGCTTTGACTATTTTTTCGCACTGGTGTAAACCCATGGCATGACTGAATTGTTTTGTTAAATGGAAAGATGCTGCACGTGAGCTCAACTACTCAAAATCAACTGGTGAGGCGAGTATTGTTCTGCAGCTCTGTATTTGGCGTTATCATGTTATTAACCCGTGGCAAATTGAAGGAACTGGAGCGAGCGAACACAGGTCATTCACTTCTGCTCGTTCTCGTACGAGAGCTTGTGAGGCGGTTCCAGCTTGCAACTATGGACTCGGGGACGCAGACAGCTATGGATTGTTTTGACCATCGAATCGTCCTAGGTACGCCGCTTTACGGTGACTAGAATGAATTCTGGCCGTTCACTAACGCTTGTGTTCGCTATGGTAATGCTTGAGTACAGAAAACCAGTTGAGAAGAGTGGAGAACACCTACCTCGCTGAATGTGCTGCTCAAAAACTGGAACCTCAGAAATCATTAGAAGAACGGATGGTCCAATACCAGCGAGAGTATGACGAGATCTGCGATAAGCGACTTCAAGAAGAGTTGGAGCGGTGCAAGTCCACGGAGGTTGCGTTGGTTCGAGCTGAAGAACGGAAGCGTTTCGATCGAGAAGTGGATAACCTCCGGACGTCTCTCTTACAGGAGTATCGCAATAAGCAGGAACGGCTTCAAGAGCGCGAACACGACTTGGAACTTACATTCGTTGCCCGACGAACAGAGCTTGAGACGTCGCTTTTTGAAACACGCCAGTCTCTGTTTAAAGATATGGAGAGGCTGCGAGTGAGGGAAGCCGAGTTGCAAGTTAAAGTGGAGAGCGATTTTCGACACTTCGCTAGTGAGACTCAGCGTTTTCAATTATGGGAAGAAAGTGTTCGAACGCAAGAAGCTAACCTGGAGGGGATAGTTGCTCAAGCCATGCGGGAAAAAGAACGCTCCTGGCAAATCGAAAGACAGAAAGCTCTTGAGGAAATTCACGCCAAGCAAGACGAGTTGTCAGATCGGGAACAAGCACTTACCACTGAAGTAGGAACGCTCAAGACGTTAAAGGCACAGGTGGTCGCACTGCAGCAGGAGGTTGCTGCATTGGAAGCTGCGCTATCGGTATGGCATTGTTGTTTTACTAGATAGATCTGCTGCAAAACTAACTCATTTAAATGTTACGTATGGCGATAGAAATCAGGAGACGATCTGTGCGCGACCCAAAGTACGGTTTCGCAGCTTGAAAAGGATCGCCAGCGTTTACAAGAGCGCGTTGCAGACCTTGAGTTACAAGTGGATGAACAGAGGTGTAGTTTGAGCGATGCTAGCGCTACCAACGCTCGTCTCGCAGCCGACAGAAGTCTGGTTGATGACGAGTTATCTCGCTACAAGCTGAAAAACGCGGAGGTGAAGGAGCAGATGAAGACTGTTTCGGCCGAAGTTAAATCTCTGCAACAGCAGATACTGGACATGAAATTCGACGAGGCCAATGCAATCGTTGCAGAGAGAAAGAGGTTCATGCAGATAATGGACGAGGAACGCGACCGTTTTCAATGGAAAGAGAACGAGTTGCTGGCAAAAGCGCGGGAGATGCAAAGTCGTTTAGCCGAGTCTGAAGCACTTGCCGAGAAGTATCAAAGCCAATACGAGGACGAGAAGGTTCATGTGGAGTCTCTGCGGCACGATGTATCGAGTTTGAACTCCCTCTTGACACAAGCTCAAGCGACGATCAATGCGAAGCATGGCGCTCCGCGAGAGATTGCATCCTTTCGTGTTCAGCGGAATACGGGAAGTAGTGGCGATACATTCGATGCAGGCTCACCTGATCAAATGCGGTCAGGCAACGAACGCACCTTTATGATGAAAATGATGGAAATGATGGCAAACTTGCAGGATGCTGGTACTTCGCGATCCAGCAGCGTTCAGCGAGACCATAGACCACTGGACCCTGGTCGTGGAGTACCAGCCGTCTTCAGTCAGGAGTCTGTTCGCCAGGTGGCTACTTCTCAACCAGTTGACGAAGCCGAAGAAGAGTCTAAGCGGCTTAAACAAGATCAGGAACGTATTGAGCGAGAATTATTGGAGCAACGCGAATACGAGAAAAAGAAGCAGGCTCGGATGGAGGAGCAACAACGGGAGCTCGCAGAGCAACACCGGCTGTTTGAAGAAAAGATGGCACGTATGCGTCAAGAGCGCATCGAAGAGGAAGAGCGACTCGAAGAGCAGCGAAAGCGTAAGCAGGCTGAAGAAGAAGCAAGGCTACAAGGGGAGCTAGATCGACAGCGTGCAGCGGTTCAAGAAGCAGCAGACCTACAACAGAAGTTGGAGGAGCAGCATTTAGCCGATGAGAAGAAACGAGTTGAAGACGAGCAAGCTTATCAGGAGAGAAGGCTAGCCGAAGAGCGCAAATTCAACGAGGAAATCGAGGCGAAGCGCCAGCAACAGCAACTTGAAGATAAAGCGGCAGCGAAACAACGACAGGAGAGAGAACAGGAGGAAGAGCGACTAAGGCAAGAGCGCATAGCGAATGAGGAGCAAGAACGTATCCGGTTGGAGAAGGAACGAGAAGCTGCTAGGCTGAAGCAAGAAGAGGAAGATCGCCAGCGCGAAGTTGAACTAAAGCTAGCAGAAGAAGAGAGAAATCGGACGGAGTCGGAGAATGCAGTACACGTGGATAACGATGCCTCGCTGGAGGATGCTTCTTGGCAAAAGTCGAGTGCTGAAGATGGCTCTGATCACAACGGCAGTGAAGACGCGAGCGCTGATACCGCTCTTGAAGAGACTGATGCTATTGTACAAGAAGCCCCATTGGCAATTGACAACACTCAAGCCCTTCCGCTAGAAGATGCAACGCCCTCTGATGAAGGCCACGTACAGGAAGAGCCGTTGGTAGCAAATGCTGACGACAGTGAGAAGGAGGAGGACAGTATTCCCGTCACCGTGTCAGAGCCACCACCGAAAACCCTTGAGGAAGAAGAGCAGGAAAGACAACAAGCTGCGGAGGAGGCGAAAAAGAAGGAAGATGAAAACGTCATCGACGTGTATCGCCAGCGCGTACTTGCCAGGAAAGCAGCCGAGAAACAGCGCCAAATGGAGCAAGAAGCGGAAAACGATCGAAAGGCGAAAGAGGAGGAGGAACGACAGAGACTCCAGCTCTTGGATGATGGAAGCGAGTCTGACCATGAGCTGGAGCTATCGGGGGGATCATTTGCCGAGTCGAGGTATGTGACGCATTGCTGCATTGGGCTGTGTTTATTGCTTCGTGTCTAACCTTTAACCTTGTGAACTTGCTGCTGTAGTGCTGCAAGCAACAGTGATTCGTTTTAAGCTTTGAATAATCGGTTGTCACTAGCATACATGCACGATCGTTTTGCCTAGCGACCCTTCCATTTTTTGCCTACGCCTGGTAGCGTCAGTTTTCGATTGTTTCATTCTTCACCACGATGCCTCTAGGGAACGAAGGGAGAGCTTCTCGCCGTCCGATGCCTCGGCAACTGGATGTGAGCGGCTGGGGCGCAGATTCGTCTTCGACGTCGGTGCAAGATCGCTTTCGGAGTGAATCTACGGAGTCTAGGAGAGCCGATGACTTCAATTATAGCAAAACCAGCGAGATATCAAGTCGTTTCGACACCTTCAGGGAAAATGAGTATCGACCTCGCCAAATTCCCACAAGGGAAGAACTACCTCGACTGCATGAGGGGAGAGAACCACGTACCGATTATGGCTTCAGCAGTGTTTCAAGCGAACGGAGTACGGCCAGGGGGAGCTCATTAGATGCGCTCTTCACATCCATTACGAGTAGTAGGGACTCTTCCCGTGAAACCACATCATACACGGATCGAGGGGGGCATGACAACCAGCGCGATGATGACGACTTCTCTCGCAACAGGTCATCCGGGTTGAGACGGCAAGACGAGGAGAGAGCATCAGAATCTACGGACCGCAGTGGGTTTCGACGAGATGGCAAAGATAAACGCAGTGATGACAGCTTTTCCTCGGGATCTAACCGTGCAGCAGAATACTACAGCACTCGCTCTTCTTTCAAGCCACCGAACTTCGACACGCTCTCGAGATTTCCCAACGTCGAAGCCGATTCTGTCCGAGCTGCGGAGACGCCTGTAGCTCGAATGGGCTCCCTCGTGGCGGCATCTGCGCAGAACGACAAAGAGCCTACTCGCAAACCATCGGAATTCAGAATCTCGTCGCTCGCTTCCGATAATGAAAACCAAGATGAGCTGCCCAGCCCAACGAATTCGGAGACTTCAGCCTCCCTTTCATCTCCAGATTCAGAGCACGACTCGATTGCACAAAGAATGCGAAGTCTCTATCCGAAGCCGTCGATTCCGTCGCCTCTGGCTTCGGATAGATCTGAAGAGAGAAACTCGCCGATGGCTTCAACATGTTCGCCCCTATCGACGAGCAAGACATTGACAAGATTCAAACAAGAAATATCTATGCCAAGGACTGACGCCTCCAAAAGAGGCGCTCAATCAGCTATGAGCGACCTGCGTGAGGATCTCTATGCATTTCGCAAGCAGATGCGCGAGGTCTTCATCCGCGTGGAAGACATGGTAGACGTGCACCGCTCGTTTTTTAAGTCCGACCCGAGCACTGGAAGCCCGGTCTTCAAGGCGGACTTGCAGCAAGAAGCGGAAAAACTGGCAACCCAAGCGTTCGAGCAGCTTAGTGACCTACGCAAGCAATTCACTCGACTCGTCAGCGATTTTCAACGATCGGAACAACCACGTGATGAATGTTCTGACCGTGATCATGAGCGGAAACAACTTCGAGCAACAACTACCAGAGCACCACCTCGATCACGAAGAGAACAGCAGGCCGTATCCAGACGTGCTGTTTCCAGTCACGGTTCAGACGACGAAGGGATCAGCGTGAAGGGCTCAGCTGTATCTGACGATGATGGCAGCGATCGCGACAGCAGCGATGAGAGGCCCAGAGAGCACTCGTCTAGTATCTCACGGACCCGGGCGTCGTCTCAAGCTGACAGCGATGACGATGCGCCGCCAGCCACCATGCCGGACTCGGTTCGCTCCACGACGTCCACCTTCCTCTCGTCGCAGTTGCAGTCTCGGTGGGGAAACCCAGGCGGGTCCATCGCCAATGGGAGCGATATCAGCTCGCGCTCACGTGGTCGGTCTCCGAGTATTGTCAGCGATGTGAGCTCCTTGCCGGACCAGTGCAGCAGAACCACCAGCGAGCACCAGACCGACAGCATCTTCCAAGGTGAACCTTTGTTGCCTTTTTCACCACTTCAACTTGCCCTCTGACGTTTTTTCGCTGACTTCCTTGCTCTAGATTTCGACAAGCGCATGGAGGAGATCCGCTGCTCGCTCAACGCGATTGCGAGCGGCAAGAAGCCGCATCGTAGCAGCGACAGAGTTGCGGCGGTCTCACCGAAAAATTTCAAGGTAAAGTTGAAGTGGCCGAACGGCTTCACACTTGCGTCCACCAACCGTTCTTCTCATTGCTCTCCCTATGCATCGCTCGCGTTTTGTGTTTACAGCATGGGGACTCGGTGTCTATGATGGACGCGGCGCGCACGCGGTCAACTCTGCGCGAGGCGTCGCGGATATCCACCGCTGTGGGCCTCGACGTCGAGGGCAGCAACGGCATCGAAGCCAAGCCGCCCCGGGGCGCGCGCGAGGCCGAGCTGCGCCAACTGCTGAAGCAACTTAATCAACTCAACGGCGACAACGAAGCGGACGGTTGAAACCTACACTTCCAGCAATAAGTCGTGTAGCCATGTCGGTTTTGGATACGATAAATCGAGCATAAAATTACGCGTAACATCCTGCTGATGGGCAACGTCGACACGAAAGGTAAAAAGCCTTTCGCTAGGCGCCTCGAACCTGATAACCAAAGCAAAACAGCAAACCCTCGCCATCCGCGGTCGTCGTCGAAATGTTGCACTGCACTCGCTCTCCATGGCACTTCCTTCCCGAGCCAAAAGTGAGCCATCGTTATGTATCCCGTAAAAATTCGACCAGCCAGCCTCAAAAATGAACCTATGCAGCTCTGCTAAGCGGTACACTGTACCACTCTGTTCCCTCAGACTGTCCGCTAACGGCAAGGCCGGTATGCGATGCGCATTTGCTGACTTTCCTCGCTGGGCAGAGGCCTTATATAACACTTGAAGCATAGCATTGCCATGGCTCCGGCGGCGACCGACGCAGCGCAGCGCTTCAAGCTCGTGATCCGCGTGCACAGCGCCGAGGAGCTGCAGCACTCGTCGTCCCAGGGCGCCTACTGCAAGCTCTACGTGGGGGCCACGCCCATGACCGAGGGCAGCCACCGCGGGCTGAGCAAGAAGGACTCGGGCGACTCGACCGCCTCGGGCGAGGACGCGGACGACGCCTGGCAGCTCGAGGTGCGGCGCACGCGCACGCAGCACCAGCAGCCCAACGCGCTGGCGCCGCCCGAGACCATCTGGGACGAGACGTTCGAGGTGCCCATCCGCCCGGGGCTGGACCTGGCCACGCAGATCCTGAGCGTGCGCGTCAAGAGCCAGCACTTGTTCTTCTGCCCCGTGATCGGCGCGTGCGCCGTCTCGCTGGCCAACTTGTGCCCCGGCGAGCGGCTGGAGCAGTGGTTCCCGCTGCAGAAGGGCAAGAAGCCCGCCGGCCGCATCCGCGTCATGCTGCTCATTGCCCCCGAGGATAAAGTTTTGAAGGCCAGAAGGAAGCAGCCGAACCAAGACGTGATGGCGGCGAGAGCGGCCCATCATGAGGCGGACGAGGCCATTAAGAGGCTCGTGGAGAAGCAGCTCAGACAGGAGGCCGAGAGGAGACAGAGACGACTCGAGCGCACGTCCAGCGGACCCCCTGTCGAGGTGAAAAGACCGGAGAACGATGACGGGGAGGGGGTGAATAGACACAAGAGAGCGGAGAACGCGACGTGGCCACCCCCTCCGGGGGTGTCGTCCCCCAAGATGTTGCCACCACTGGGCACCCCCGCGGCGTTCAGAGATAATCAAGATGGGGCGAGTATGAGACCGAGACTGCCGACTACGGAGCAGTTGCCAGTGCCCCCACCGATGGAGCAATTGTCGTTGTCTCCAACGACGGAGCAGTCGCCGGTGTCTCCGATGTCGGAATATGAGCAGCGTCTGGACAGGAAGCTGCGCCAGGTGAGGAAGGAGACGGCGCGGCTACGGAAGCTCAAGGAGCAGCTGAAGAAGTACATTCCGGACTTGCAGATGGACTCGGACTCGGACGACTCGCTCGACTCGGAGGATGAACCCGAGGCGCTGCTGACCGGGTCGTCCATGTCCTCGTCGGCGTCGACTTCGTCGGTTTCGGAGAGGACGCACCATCTTGAAGACCAACCGAAGGAGACAACGCACCGCAGTCTCGAGGGGCTCAAGCACTCTCGGGTGAAATCTTCGCCCCACGGTGAGAAGAAGGGGGGCCAAACGTCCATGGTAGACAAGAAGTCTGTCCCCATGGCCTTCTAGCTGGGCGAGGTGTGTATTACTGTCGGCAATGGAAAAAGGTTTCCATAGGCACGGATCTCCTGGATTGAGGAGGATAGTTTCAATAGTCAATGTTGTACATTTTGCCGTCCCAACACTGGCGTTAAGAGGACAAGACATGCCGCCACCTTCGGTTTATCCATCCTTGGCACGGCAGGGTCCTCCGGCAGAATGGGCAACCAAAACTACCAGAGAGAGAGAACGTCGGCTGCAAGTTGCCACTCTCCGGGGCGCCAGATTCCCGCACACATCACAGAGGCACAACCACTTCATCCCCCGAGCGATCTTCAGCTTGGATGAGCCAGGTTTCTTTGGCTACATTTGGCGACGCGTAGCTCAGCCAGGTTCACTACGAAATCGGACGCAACTCCTCAATGCCAAGCTACGCTCAGGACTCGTTCACGCTCTCGCTGCACGTGCAGTCTGGCCAGCACCTCTCCACGCACGTGAGCGCCGCTTTCTGCACGATCGTAGTATGGAGCAATTCGTCTCCGGGCGGCCCTGCCGAGTTGACGACGCAGCCGAAGTACACCAGCTTCAGCTCCGTCGGCGCCAACGAGAGCGTCGAGTGGAACGAACAAATGCAGGTGCAGGTGACCAGCCCGGCCTCCGAGGTGCTGACTCTTCGTGTGAAGGACTCGACGGACTCGCTCGTGGGGAGCTGCAACATCTGCCTGGCCCACCTTCGTCCAGGAGAGGCATTGAACCAGTGGTTCCAGCTTCACCCCGCCGGTCACATCCACCTGAAGCTGGTGCTGCGTCCGAACCAGCAGCCAGCCCCCACTCCGTCAGTGAATCCCAATTCGCCCTACTCCGCAGACTTCCAGGCGCTGCTCGAGCTCGAGATGAAGAAGAGAGCGGCGACAGTGAACGAGTCGCCACTTCCATCGCACATCGCGGCGTTGCTGGAGGCTCGGAACAAGGCGCAGGAGAGCACGATGCTCCTGATCCAGTAGCAGCTTCAACAACAGCAGCAAGCTAGCTACAGCCCACTACCCTACCGGTTTCCCCACCGGCTACCCTCCAGCTCAGCCACAACAGGCAAGCGGCTCCAATTTCCACGAAATGATGGGAACTGCCGCCAACATCTCCACCATCGCTGCCAACCTGCAGCAACTCAACGGCAACAACGCCGGAGTCGGCACCAGCGGACTGGGCACCGCAGCCTCAATCGGACTCGGCGCCCTCGGCCTCTGACCGCTCGGACTCTTCTTCGGGTCGTAATAGGCGAATTGCGTATGTACCCACGTGTTAAGCTGCTGTCAAATACATTGAAGTGCGTCTGAACAATGCACGCTCTCAGCCACGCTCTCGGTGTTTAAGGTCCAGCCTCCTGATCAGCAACAATGGCCCGCTGAGCAATTCATCCGTGAGTATTCATCACACGGCAATCATAAGCTTACCAGTAGTTGCAGGTTGAAGCCGCCTTGATGGGTACACTTTTTTTCCTTCCATGGCGACTATCCATTTCATTCCGCAATTTGCCGCCAACCGCTCAAGTGGAAGAGAGAAAGAATGGAGCGACTGACGTCCTCCAAGAGCCTCGGGTTGGCCGGGTGGGGCAACCCGACGCTGCATCAGAGCGGCTTCACGCTGTTCCTGCGGGTGCACTCGGCCCGTAGCCTGGCGGCGGTGGGGCGCGGCTCGTACTGCAAGATCTACCTCGGCAACACGGAGCTCGTGAATGGGTCGGCTCAGGGCGGCGCGTCCTTCAGCAACCTCCTGGCTGCAGACAACGCGCAGCAACAACAGATTCAGGTAATGCAACCGACACACCGAGTCTTCCGAACGAAGGTGCTGTATACCGACCAGAAGTCGTGCCCCGAGTGGAACGAGAAGCTCGAGCTCCACGTGCTGAACCCAGAGACAGAGATCTTGACTATTAGAGTCAAGAACCAGTTGATGCTCTTCTGCCCCGCTATTGGGGCGTGTGCGATTCCTCTGGCAAATGTAACGCTGGGGGAGCCGGCCGAGCAGTGGTTCCCACTGCACAAAAGCGGCAAGCCGGCGGGTCACATCCGTCTTCAGTTGCTGCTGACTCGGAAGGACCCGACGGTGACTCCCCCTCCTGCAGTGAGCGAGTCGCCTATGCAGAGGCTTATCCAGCAACATTGCCAGCAAGAACGCGAGCGGCGTCAGCAGCTGCAGAGTGACGATTCCATGAGACGACGGCAGTTTGAAGAGCAGGAGCGAATGCAGGCAGAGCTGAGACGACAGAGGGAGGAAGCGGAGGAGAGGGAGCGGAACCGAATCGAAGACTTGGCCGGGATGCAAGCCATACAAGACCAGATCCAGCGCGAGGAGCAGGCCAAGGTGCAAGCGTATTTGCAGAAGCAGATGGAGCATGAAGATACCTGGCAGGCAGACGTGCTTGCTGAGAAGATGAGCGCGGTTAAGGTGGAGGACGCTCCGGAGGATTCGACTAAAGAATCGACTAATGGGACCAACTACCACTTTGCTGACGACGTGGTGACAGCTTCGATAAGGTCATCGACATCGTCGGTGGGGTTGAAGCAGAGCTTTAATGCTACTCAGGAAGACAACCGTCGTGGGGAAGTTGCTGAAGCTGTGGAGCTGAAGGACGCGGTCTTCGGAGAGGTGGTGCACGACGCCTTGCCGTCGTCGGATTCGTCATCGTCAGATAGAGGCGGCAAGCGGCGCAGCAACCAGCGGAAGGAGAAGGAACGTCGCAAGAAACACTCAAGAAAGCAGACTCGGAGCGTGAAAGAGGACAAATCGAGTCGTACTCAAGCTCCTCTCTTTCCATCAGCCTACGAGGAGGAGACTCGCTACAGAAAATATTCGTCGGCGTCGATAGCTGAGTCGTCCAGTTCTTCAGAGGAATCGACGTCGTCTGAAGAAGAGCGTCGTCGGCGACGTCGCCGCCGCAAGGAGAAGAAGGCCAAGAGGAAGGAGCGCCGTCGCAGACGCAAGGCCAAGCGCAAAGCTCGTCGGGAGTCGGACGGATACGAGTCTTCTTCTTCGTCGTCGTCGTCTTCATCGTCGTCTTCGCCATCGTCATCCTCATCATCCTCGGACGAGCGTCGCAAGCGCAAAGCGAGAAAGCACAAGAAATCGAAGGAGACGGCTCGATCTCAGCGCGAAGGCAAGGCTAGCTCGATGCCGCGGGCGCGCGCCCCGCCTCACTCCCACTCGTATGGACCTGACCACTCAAGCTACTCGAAGGAATCGAAGAGCAAGTACAACGATCCCGCTACACCGTTCGCGCGACCTGCGCAATCGCCGTTTGCAGCTTCTTCACCCCCAGGCTACATCGAGGCACTGCCTCCGCAGCCTCAACAGAAACGATCGATGGGGGAGATGGCCAGCACTGCTGCAGATGTGGCTTCAATTTTATCGAGCGTGGCTTCCGTGGCGACAAGCGTTCAGCAATTGGCAGGCGGTGGGGACGCCGGTGGAGGTGCAGGTGGCTTGAACATTCCGTTCGCGGTGCCCGACATGAGCCAATTTCTCGGAGGCCAGGATTTGTCGGGGCTAGCGGGCCAAGACTTCTCGGGCTTAGTTGGGTCTGATTCGACGGCGCAGTACTTCTAGCGAGCGCAACAATAGGTGTGTGCTACATGTAGCGTCTGGTTCATTTGGCGACGTACAGTAGTAGTCGTAACTTGCTGGTCGGACCGACAGAAACAAAAATACTTGTTCAAATAATACGCCATTCCTAACCAGCGAACGGTCAAGCATAGCCGTGAATTACCGAGCAAACCTAGAAGGCAAGCGCTACACGATCTGTTGTTTGCTAACTTTCGCCTGCACCTCGCCTAGTTCTCTAATGTCGACTCAGTAAGCTTACCAATGATCGTGTGGCTGAAGCCTCTTCAGATGGAGCAGGCAGCTTTGGCTTTTTGCTGTTCGCATACGTGAGTGATGGTCGAAACTCCAAGCGAAACCGCGGGCATCGTTCCTTGCGGTGCATTTGCTTGTTTTATTTTGCGGTGCATTTGCTTGCTTTATTTTCATTTCCAGCTCGACTAACTTCGGGTGTACTCTATAACTTAGGGCGGAGATCAGCGGACAACCAGCTGTACGTTACACGGCAGTACAGTACAGCGTCGAGTAGTACACTCCTGCAGCATTGCGGCCATCGCTTAGCTGACTGCAGCCACTCACTCTGCAGTTCTCCTCCTAGCGCTCAAGCTAAGTACTGTAGCGCCCGCTATGACGGTGCAGCCGGACACTGCGTCCCTCATCTCCCCCGCCCCCAAGACCAAGCAGCCGCAATACTCGACGTTCGCCAGCGTCAACGACCAAGTAGAAGAGACCAAGCATCAGCTGCACCATGCAACAACGTCAACTAACGTTATCACCCCAGGCACTGCGTCCTTGTGGTCGCGCGTCTTGTTCTCGTTCGCCAACCCCATGATGAGCACGGGCAACACGCGCCAGCTCGACAACGACGACCTGTGGGAGCTCGACCGCGACAACCAGTCAGCTACGGTGTTCGACGAGTTCGTGAGGCACTACGAGAGCCATGACAAGTCCATCATCAAGGCCATGGCCACCACGTACGGGGGCCCCTTCCTGCTATGCGCTCTGGCGACGCTCTTCTCCACCGCGTGCAGCGTCTTCGCTCCTGCGGTTCTGAACCACGTCGTGACTGCATTCGCGGCCGCGACGATCGACATGTACGACTTGGGCCTGTGGCTCGGCGTGTTCTTCGCCTCACGTCTTGTGAACGCCATCATGCTGCCCCACGTGCAGTTCCACATCGAGTTGATCGCGCTCCGCCTGACGGTGTCGCTCAAGGGGCTGCTCTTCAGGAAGGCCATGCGTCGCAGCATCCAGAGCAAAGGCGACTCCAACGCCGTGGACATCTCCAACCTCTTCTCGTCGGACGTGGACAACGTGCTCTGGGCGGCGTTCATGAGCTACAGCGTGTGGATCACCCCCATCCAGATCGTGGTTGTGGTCTTCATGCTGTACGAAGTCATCGGCGTCGCTGCCTTTGCCGGACTGGGGGTCATCGTCGCCTCGATCGTAGCGGGCTCTATCATCGCCAAACTCTCCGGCGACACGTTCGAAGGGGTCATGCAGCACAAGGACAACCGCATGAAGACCATCAAGGAGGTCTTCAGCGCCATTCAGATCGTGAAATTGAACGCGTGGGAGGACAAATTCGCAGACAAAATCCACAAGTTGCGCGCCACGGAGCTCTCCGCTATCAAGAAGTACGTGTACCTTAATGCGCTCAACATTTTCGTGCTGTGGGGCTCTCCGTTGGTGGTCTCGGCCGTGTCGTTCGCCGTGTACGCGCTTGTGATGGAGAAGGCGCTGACTGCTGCGAAAGTTTTCACTGCCATCGCTCTGTTTAACGCCATCCGTGACCCGCTGAGAGACTTGCCCACCGCCATCCAAGCTTGCATCCAGGCCAAGATCTCCATCGACCGATTCACGGACTACCTCGCTTTGGATGAGTTCGACCCGAACAACGTCACACGTGATGACCCTGCGCAGCCACAAGATGTCGCCTTGGCTATCGAAGACGGCTCCTTTGGCTGGACGGACGAGACAGCGCTACTAACCGACGTGAAGCTCACTGTGAAGCGAGGTGACCTGGTCATTGTGCACGGATCGGTTGGCAGCGGCAAGTCCTCGCTGTGCTCCGCGATACTGGGAGAGATGAACAAATTGGGCGGTAAAGTGTTCGTCCGAGGCAGCGTCGCCTACTACTCACAACAGACGTGGATTCAGAACATGACCATCCGTGACAATATCCTCTTCGGACTGCCGTACGACAAGGAGAAGTACGCGCGCGTGATCGCGGCCTGTGGTTTAGTGCCGGACCTGAAGCAGTTCCCAGGAGGTGACGAAACGGAGATTGGTCAAAAGGGAGTCAACCTTTCAGGGGGACAGAAGGCTCGTGTCTGCCTCGCTCGAGCATGCTACTCGGACGCCGATACTCTGCTACTTGACTCGCCTCTCGCTGCTGTCGACGCCATCGTGCAGAGTCAGATCTTTGGCGACTGCATCTGTAACTTGCTCGCGGACAAGACAGTGATCCTGGTGACCCACGGCGCCGACATCATTGCGAGCAAAGCTGCGAACGTGAAGGTGCTGGTGGAAAGCGGCAAGTTGACTGCTACTCGACATGAAGTTGCGTTACCACGCTGCTCCTACACGCTACCAGTGTCTCCTCGCTCGACAAAGGACGACGATGAAAAAGGCAACAACAACAACAAGGACAAGGATGCGGGTCGGCTGGTTAACGATGAAGAACGTGAAGAAGGTCGCGTGTCCAAGGAGGTGTTCTCCAACTATTTCAACTCGCTCGGCGGTGTCAAGGTCTGCGTCTTCCTCTTTGCGGTGCAGACGCTGTGGCAGGCTTTCCAGATCGGAAGTGACTTGTGGCTGAGCCGCTGGACCGGACAGAAGAACGGCTCGTACAACCAAGACGAGACAGCGTACAACATGAAGGTCTACTCGTTGCTTGGGGCCGGTGCTGCTGTCATGGTGTTCGTCCGCTCCACAACCGTGGCGATTGTTGGTCTCCGGGCGTCTCGCCACTTGTTTGACAACATGACTCAATCGCTATTGAGGGCCCCGCTCCGCTTCTTCGACGCCAACCCCATTGGCCGCATTGTGAACCGGTACGGCGACGACATGGCGGCTGTGGATTCCATGATCCCTCCTGCGTTTGGAGGTTTCCTCGCCATGTTCTTCTTCACAGTGTGTCAACTTGCGACGGCTGTGTATACGATGAACTTCCTCGGTGCTTTGATCATCCCTCTCGTGTGGATGTACGTGAAGATCGCCAACTTCTACCTCGCTCCGTCTCGAGAACTGTCACGCTTGTGGAAAGTGTCGTCTTCTCCGGTGCTCAGCCACGTGAGCCAGTCAGAGGAAGGGGTCGTGGTTATTCGCGCTTTCGGTCGAGACACCATCGATCGAATGATCACCGAGAACTTCATCCGCAACGACCTGAACAGCAGGTGCTGGCTGGCAGACACCGTCACGCAGCAGTGGTTTGGTCTTCGCATGCAGCTTCTAGGCAGCGCTGTGATTGTTCTCGTGGTGTCTGGATTGGTGTATCTGCGCGACTTCCTGTCTCCTGGTATCGTTGGACTTGCCTTCACGTACGCGCTCAGCGTCGACACTGGTCTCGCTGATCTGGTGCAGTCGTGGTCCTGGGTCGAGATCCAAATGGTCAGTCCCGAGCGCATTCTCGAGTACGGGTCGATCCCCGCTGAAGGAAGCAAGCGACCGCTTGTCATTGAGCCTGATGCTTCGTGGCCTCGTTCGTCCACCGTCCAGTTCCAGGATGTGGTCTTCAGCTACAAGCAGGGCGGGAGCCCCGTGCTCAAGGGTTTGTCCTTTGACATCCGCAACAACGAGAAGATCGGCATTGTCGGGCGTACTGGTGCAGGCAAGTCCAGCCTCACTATGGCACTCTTCCGTATCAATGAGCTGGTGTCGGGAAGAATTATTATTGACGGTGTGGACATTGCATCAATGCCGCTGCGTACACTGCGCTCGCACCTGTCCATCATTCCGCAGTCGCCTGTTCTGTTCAAGGGCTCGCTGCGTGCGTACATGGACCCTTTTGGCGAGTTCACGGACGCCGACATTTGGAGCGCGCTGGAGAAGGTGGACATGAAGACGCAGGTGTCGGCTCTGGAGGGGCAGTTGGCGTACGAGCTGAGCGAGAACGGCGAGAACTTCAGCGTCGGGGAGCGGCAGATGCTGTGCATGGCTCGCGCGCTGCTGACCCGGAGCCGCATTGTGGTGATGGACGAGGCCACAGCGTCCATCGACCACGCGACCGAGAAGAAGCTGCAGGAGATGATCAAGAAGGATTTCCAGAACGCGACGGTATTGACGATCGCTCATCGACTGGGCACGGTGCTCGACTCGGATCGGATCCTGGTGCTGAGCGACGGGAAAGTGGTGGAGTTCGACAGCCCTCGCAACTTGGTGAAAGGTGGAAGCGGGGTGTTCTATGAGTTGGCCAAAGAGGGAGGCTATCTCGATCAGTTGCTGTAGGTAGCCAAAAGATACTAACGTTAACAGAGAAAGCCCTGTCCTGACAGCGTTATTCCCTCACTACAGCGTGGAAAAAGTCTAAGCAGACAGTCCTTTGACAGCAAATAGCGGGCGTGAAAGGCAGCGGAATCGGTGAGGGTGGAGTTTGTCATAGCTCGGGACATTCAGCACATGTAGCGCGGTGGGAGCAGTGATAGGATCCTGGTTCATTGAGGTCAACTTGCTCCGCGCGTTTCGCCCATCGGCGTGGACAAGGTGAGTCTAGGCTTCGTTACACTTCAACTTGATGTCACCGGTATTGGAGATCGAGCCAAGACCAAAGCGAGCGCAACAAGCGTCGGTCGAGTCTGCCCGGTGCTCTGCTATCCATGCCGAGGCCCTGCAAGGATGCGTGGCCAAGCAACGATATCGTGGCGCCCTCATTGAAGGGATGGCGAGGCAGGTGATACTGTTTCTGGTGCAGTAAAGTCTGGTGGCGGATCATTCACCCTGACTTGATCATTCCAGCGGTGCAAGCTGCACCAAGTACATAATGGACAATAGACAGTCTCCAGAGTGTCAGCACGCACGCACGCTGCTGGACACTGCTCGAGCACCATCATGAAAAGGATACACAGAGCGTGCAGAGCACGAGAGCAAGTGTGCTTCAAACAGCCCGATATCGATCCGCGGCTTTGCGCAAGCAGCGGCAGCAGTCACAATAATGGGGAGATATCAGGGGCATCCAACGGCTGCGTTACAGACAACGACGGATAAATCCGGGCGACACTAAAATCTGGAGGACAAAGTCGTGCAGTGTACAACAGCGTCGTTCCAGCCAATCAAATTTGACCAGTAGACTTGGTCTTTGTATAGCATATGCTTTCGTGTACACTATATGGATTGTTGTGTGTTTTATGAACATTGTTGTGTATTTTATGTCGGTCAAAAGTGTTTTTAGTGGAAACGGACGGGGATTTCATTGCATTTTACTATGGGCTATGGCATTCAGTGATCCCGGGTTTTTCCGTCGTTGTCTGTGGCAGAGTCTCTCTTCATCGACTCAAAATCAGCAGTCTTCGTCGTGTCCTGCGCGACAAAATAGTAAGAACACACTTCCATTCCAGTGAAAACACACAGAGGATGGGCGACATCATAAAGTAGACGAGGCGCGATAGCGCCCAGCCAACGGAGGCGAGGAGCGTAGCCGCAGCAAACCCGCACGGGGAGCCCGCGAAGCAGGGCCGCGCGGTATTTGCGGAGGCGGGCTCAGTGACGAGCATTCCAGCGAGCCGAGCACTTGCACTCGCCAGGTGAGAGAATCTATATATGTTTCGTTTCGTTTAGTTCGAGTTTAGCAATCGAAACCGTTTAGAACGCGTGTTTCGCGAACGATTGCCCTCATTTCGTCGACAAAACTCGAGTAGCCATTTTTTAGAATTATTTCTCTATATTTAGACTACATTTTAACATTTTGCTCGCCGCATTCACTCCGAGGGCGAGTGCGCACTCGCGCTTCAACTTCATTCCGCACTCTGTGCGCACTCCGTGCACGGCTTCCGCACCCAGTGGGGACACTCCAAGGGCGCACGGACCATCAAGACTCTTGCGCAGATCAAGGAAGAGCGACGGTGAGGGTGAAGTGGCGAAGGCGCTGGCCGCGGCGTGCACTAACATGTTGGATTCGTGGAGCAGCAATGCCAGGAGGGCGACCAAAAAGCGAGGTCTGGAAGCTTTTCGAAGAACCAGGTGGTGATGGAAGCGTGAAGTGCCAGCGCTGTTCTGCTCAGATTGCCAACCCGAAGCCACACAAGCTCGAAAGCCACTTGACGAAGTGTGATGGATACTCGCTTGTGGTGAACAAGAAGAGGAAGCGCGCTTCTGAAGAGCGTGCGGAAGAGGCGGCGCGGCGAAGGAGTCTGAACAGTGGAGATGTGGAGATGCTGCAAACGGACGCCGAAGACACTGATGGACAACCGTTGATGTCATACATCGTGACTCAAGCCCTCGTCAACAAACTGGTCGCCGACTACATTTACGAGTCCGCGTCGGCGTTTCGATCCGTGGATTTGGGCTCTTTACAGTGTTTGGTCTTGACCTTGGCGCATGGTACTTGCACTTCAAGCGTCAAAAGTTCCATCGCGAACGGACGTTGGCGACCCGCTTCTAAAGCAGACCGCAAAGGAACACTTCGAGAAGAAAGTTGCTATCCTGATGAAGCAGAAATTCTTCGCGTTCCAGCTCGACGGATGGTCGAATCCCAGACGGGAAAAACTGATCAATATTCTGGCGTCAGGCCCAAATATGGATCCCTTGCACCTCGAGACCATTGCGACTGGAGTCGACTCCCAGACTGGAGAATATATCGCGAGGCTTATCGGCGCAAAGGTGGACAAATTGGACGCGATTGTTGGCGAAAGCAAGGTGTCGAGTGTCACGACGGACAATGCGCCTAATATGGAAAAGGCGTGGGGAATTCTTGAAAGCACGCGGGGGTTGCTGTGCAATGGCTGTGCTGCGCATGTTCTCAATTTGCTTTTGCAAGATGTGGCATAAATGGACGAGATCAAGCGGGTAGCGGCTGGCGCTGAGGCGATCACATCGTACTTCATGGGACGCCAGCAGCTACTTGCCCGGTTTAAGATCGAGAAGGACGATATGGCTCGATCCAACGCAGCTGAAGTGCACGGTCGCTCGTTCACCATCCCTGTTGGTACCCGCTGGTACTCCTCGTACCATTGCCTCGTGAACGTGATCCGGAACAGAGAGGCTATAACCCGCGTGTTCGACGACGATGAATTTATGGCTTCGTACAGCGGGAAAAAGAATCTGCGAACCCAGCCAACACCAGCTCAGACAACGACATCAACGCGACGAAGTACGCGCTCCAAGAAGAAGACGAAGAAGGCTCAAGAGGCCGAGGCCCAACGAAAGAAGAAGCAGGAATTGAAAGCGGCCGTCTTCCAAAACGTTGACAATCTAGTGCGAGATGAAGACTTCTGGATGAAGGGTGAACAAGTAATTCAGCTGCTGGAGCCGATCATCAAGAAGCTTCAGCTACTAGAATCCGACCACCGCTACATTTCAATGGTGTACTGGGCGTTTCGTGACCTCCTCAAGCAGCCTATTTACAGCGATCCAACGTTTTTGGTCAGTACGGCAAAAGCAATACTTGTGCAATTTAAGGCGAGATGGAACAAAATGCACACGGATGCCATGGGCATTGCATTCTTCTTGGACCCAGCTCAGGACCCTAATGGTTTTGTTGGCAAAGATCGAAAGAATAGCAAGAAGCAGATCCGCAAGATGGCGAAGAGACTGGGTTACACACTGGAGGAAGTTGATCAAGCATATCACGAAGCCGGCGTATTCTGGAATTTGAAGCGGGATTGGACGCCCAAGCAGCGCCGTATTGAGTCCCGTTCTGCACCTCTAGAGTGGTGGGGCGACGAGCGCGACTCTTATCCAGTCCTGTCTCGGATAGCGCGCCGAGTGTTCACGATGCCGACATCGTCAGCGGCTTCGGAAAGGAACTGGAGTGCTCACAAGTTCGTCTACTCGGATCGACGAGTTAACCTTGGCCTGGACAAAATCAACATGCTGATTTCCATGTACTGGGATCGACTGGAGAAGAAGCCGCTTCCAAGAGTTATCTTCAACTCCACAACTCTACAGACGGCAGTAACCAGTGAAGGTGACGACGACGAAGAGGAGAACAGGATTCACTACGAAGCCCACGACTCAGATGGGGAGGAGAATTACGAGCATGAAGTCTTAGCTCAAGCGATGACGATGATGAATTGGACGACGAACAGCAGAAGGACCCAGAAAAAGCCAAGGCAATCAGATTGGCCCAAGAAAACCTGGACTACTTCCTTCATGATACCTTCGACTACCAGGCGAGTAAGTTTTGAGTACGACTTTGATGTTTGGCGAGTAAATTTTTGAGTACGACTTGGATGCTAAGTTAATAAATTCACGTTGTCGTGAGTGCACTTTGCTTGCAATTGAAAGTATGACCAGCTTCATCGGTCGTGTTGGCCCTTTGTGGACCTGAATAGCGTCGCGCCGAATCCCGTTCATTTCGTTTGCAAATTAAACCTAATTAATTTCAATTTCGAACGCGAAACTCAATTAAAATTGCGAACGAAACACACACTGCGATTGGCTTGAGGCGCGCGCTCGGCCATCACGGCATCAGCTCGCCTTGCATGGCCGATCCCCTTCCCGGTTGCGACGCCAATTGTCGACGCTCAAGGGCATCAGTCGATGTCGGCGACGTTAGCGTCCTCCAGCAAGCGATATAAAGCGGCGACACCATCCTCCGGCAGACGATGGGGCAAGTTGTGACGGTTCACCGCCGATTGATAGCCCCGTGATTGGCGAGAGGCATGCGTCTCGGTGCCAAGTTGCTCTCGCACTCCTCTTAGGAGTGTGTCTGGGGCAACGGAGACCTCGACCACTTCTTCCGCTGGTGATGGCTGGCTGCGGGGCGGCCAGCGGGCTCCGCTGAACGGAGACCTCGATGTGCTAACCGACTGAACGAGTGTCAAGCTAGACGAAACACCACGCCACATCCCCACTGCTTGGTCAGCTCCGGAGACCATTTCCGAATTCGCTTCTTCCCCCAAGGCAGCACCACCGAAAAGCTCAGGAGCTGACCATGTCCCTACGCGAGTCGAACCTTTCGACGCCTCGCATCGGCAAGAGCTTGCAAATCGAGGAGGGCACGGACTACCTCGAGGCCAAGTCGCCCAACCCGATGGCCAAGTTCGAGGAGGGCGCTCTACGCGAAGGCCCCGCGCCCGACACCAAGAGCAAGAACTACTTCGGCTTCCTGTTCCAGTACGCGGGCGCCGGGCTGATCTACAGCGTGCTCTACAGTCTCACGTACCCTTTCCTCAATAATTACCTGCGGATGTCGGGCGTCGCGACGGCCTCCTGTGTTTTTGCGTGGGACTCCGTGTGCGGCGGCACAGCTCAGAGGTCGGCAAAAAGAATACTGGGGCCAAGTCAACGGAAGTTTTGTGGGATTTTGAAAAGACTCAAACACGCCATAAAGTACTCAAAATGTAAAATCGCCCTCCGCGCCCGCGCCAGGCCTCATGCTCTTCCGCTTCAGGTAGGAAGCGCGGGAGGCCTTGCATTCGTAGACACGGCACGTCTTGCAGCAGCTGTAGAATGCGCCGTCCTCCTTCTTCTCGGTGGGGCTGTGGCATCTGGAGCACTCGCCGGGCACATGCTTCACCTGGGGGCAGCGAGGGAGGCCGCTCGCTTCTCGCTTGGCTGCGCGTAGGGCTCGGTTCTTGGCCCCGGTGGCGCGGCACGAGCTGCATTGGCTGTACAACTTGCCGTTCTTCCTTTGAGCGCAAGCTTTGCTGCAATTGCTGCACTGGCCGGGTTTCTTCTGCGGCTTCGGTGGCTTGATCCCGAGGGCTGCGCGCTTGGTGGCCGCTTTTTGCTTGCGACGAGCTGTGAGGCACGGCACTCGTCGCAGCAGGCGTACAGGCCCTTGTTGCCTGTGCGGTCACGGGCCTGACCGCACAGTTCCGCGTACAGCACATGCTACATTTCCCAGGCGCTCTCAGTCTCCTTTTCTCTTCTGTTTGGGCGTTGAACTTGGAGCAACACTCCGCGCACGCACTGCGGGTCTCGCCGGGAGGCTTCTCTTTTCCGCATTGCGTACACAGCCCGTATTCTTGTCTGAGGTGATACTTGACTTCATCTTTTCTTCTGCAGCCAGTGCATCTGAACAGTCCGCTGTCAGCGGGGAGCTTCGCCTTGCAGCTAATGCATAAGCCTGCTTCTTTCTTTTCTTCATACCGGGCCTTGGCTCTCTTCTGCGCGTTTTCCTTCAGCTCGGCCGCGACAAAAGCACCTCCCTCGCCATCCACAAACACAGGAACAGCTGCGAGCTCTTCCTCGGCGAGCCCCTCGCTGGCCATGGCGTCTGAGATGCGCTTCTCCTGCTCGTCCACCCATTCGTCGTCAATTTCAAAGAAATGTTCCGTCTCCTTTGCTTTCGACTCCTGCAGTGCATTGTCCACTAAAAGTATAACAAACACCGTAAGATACTCTTTAAGATTTACCATTTGCATTGACCAATTTACCTTCAGCAGCCATGTAGTGAAATGTCAGGCTTTCGTAGGACTGTGTTAGTCCTTTGAAAGAGGGGTTCACAGAGCCGCTAGACGCGAAGACATCGTCGACAATGATGAACTACAAAGGGAACAGATTAGGCAGTGTAAGTAAGAGCCCATCGGCCACGCATGCCAATAGCATTGTACCTTGATATGCTGCGTCTTGCTCTTCTTCTTCTGCACGAGGATCTTGAGTTTTGCTCCGTTCTTCTTCTCGGCCAGTAGCTTCTTCACGCAAATGAGCTGGTACGGAGCCATCACCATTCTCCAGTCGAGCAGCAGCGTCACATCCACCCCCATCTCAAGCAGCTCCTGGATCCGGCCGAGCACTCCCAAGTCTGTCAGCGAGAAGATCTCCATGCGCACCTTGGAGGTCTTCATGGGCAGGTGTAGTTGCCACATGTATTGGGCTGCAAACTTGGGGTTGGCTCGCGAGTAGATGGTACGACTCGGAGGCAGCATCTCCACCTTTGCGTAGATGTCACCGAAAGTAGACGGATGAATCCTCAGCGCCTTTGCGATCTCGGGCAGCGTGATCTCCGGACGCTCCACGCGCAGCCTCCGGATCTCTCGGTTCACCCTAACGGGCTCGTGCTCCGGCTTAGCCGCAGGCCCAAACTGGTCCCAGAGGTCTCCGCGCAAGTATCGCGTGAGGACCTTCTTCACTGTGCGCCCGACACGCGGTGGGTCGAGGTGCTGGCCGAACTCGTCGAAGTCTTTGGGGGTTATGGTCTTGGTCTTGTCGGCGCGGATGAGCGGCATCAGCTTCTTGATGATCTTCAGACGCTCCTCGTCATCAGTGCGCGGCGCGAAGTGCTTCTTCTTCTTCGACGGGGGCTTCTTGCTCGTCAGCCCCGAGCTGGCCTTGCGCTTCCCCGCGGCCTTCGCCTATCTCGCGGAAAATTCGATTGTGAGGCAGGTCGAAGTTGCCTTTTGGAACTTTAGCCGCAGGCACCTCTCAGCCAGCTTTTTTTTGAAGCCACCTGGCGCTCAAGGTTCCCAAAGCCTCAAGGGCCGTGGCCTACGTGTTGATCGCCCTCCCGTGGTCGCTCAAGACCTTCTACGGTATCATCACCGACTGCTACCCGATCTTCGGCTACCGTCGTCGTCCGTACATGGCCATCGGCTGGGCCGTGTGCGCGGTGTGCTCGTTCGTGATGGCGGTTCTACCCGAGGGAGATCCGTACTACCCGGACAACTCGTGGGCGTCTCTGTCGGAGTCCGAGCACACCGCCGAACAAATCGCCGAGATCAACTACGACGCCCCCGACGCCGGCATCAAGTTCGTTCTACTCATGATCGTCGCCAACCTGGGCATGGTGCTGTCCTTCACTGCGTATGGCGGTACGCTGGTAGAACTCTCCCAACGCGAGGGGGAGAAGCGCCGTGGTGACCTCCAGACGATGATCTGGGTCGCTCGTGACGCTGGCGGCGTCGTCGCATCCGCGTTGGTCGGATTCGGGCTCAACTCGGAGGAATACGGCGGCACCTTCGCCGGGTCCATCCGCGTGGGGGGTCTCATGGGCATCTGCGCCGCCACTTCCATCATCACGGGCGCTGTGGCCTGGTACTGCATCGAGGAGGAGAAGGTGGAGCGTCGGTCCGTGCGCGTCGAGCTCGGCAAGCTGTTCGACCTGATCCAGTACCGCGTCGTGTACCAAGTGCTGGCCTACTAGTTCTTCGGCACGTGAGCGTGACGGCGTCCACGCCGCTGCAGAGCGTCTGGTTGACCATTTCGCCCGTGAACAGCAGCATCGCCACCATCATCTCGACGCTTATCTCCATGGGCTCGCTGCTGGCGGTGCGTCAGTGGGGCTTGAACTGGAACTGGCGCTGGATGATCGTCATCACGGAGCTCGCGGTGGTGTTCGTGGACTGCTTCCCGACGTTCCTCACGATCTGGGACGTCGTGCGCAGTCAGTGGTTCTGGCTGGGCGTCCCCCTGCTGGAGCAGGTGCCGACCAATATCGGCTTCATCGTGTCCACGTACTGCATGGTGGAGATCATGGAGGAGGGCAACGAGGCCGCGTTCTACGGCCTCGTGGTGGCTGTCTCGAGTCTCGCGTCGCCCTTCGCCACGGTCATCACCAAGAACATTGACGCCAACTTCGACATCGCCACCGCCGACCTCCAGCGTGACGACACGGAAGTGCGTCAGCAGGTCACGTACGCCTACCTCTGCTCGTATGCGTGCAAGATCTTCTCGACGGTCTTTGTGCTGCTCATTCCGCGCCAGAAGGCCGAGACGCAGGAGATGCGGCGCAACGGCGGCAAGAGCAAACTCATGGGCGTCATCGTGGTCATCATCATCATCGCCTTCACGTACGTCTGGACCATCATGACCAACATCATGCCCATCTTCCCGTCCACCTCCTGCTACCAGATCGCCGGCGGCGACGGCTGCTCCTAGATTTCTTTACGTATTGTGCTTTTCGGTTGTTTTGGCAAATCGGACGTGTAAAACAGCTACCTACTAAGATGGGGCTAGGTTATCGGAGCAGATTAGCAGGTCCCTCGTAGGGAATTAGGACCAAGAATTGCTAGTCCGATGGAAGCGTCCTACAAACAGCCGAAAGCCCGAATGTCGCCCATTTTCACGGTATTCGGGGTTTGAGGTCTTACGAAGGACTCCTACCTAGTCTTGTGGCAGGACTTTCATACGAGCTGACTCTAATACGGTGTATGTCAAACGCAGAATAAACCTATGAAAACACGATGCAGTCGATACGTTAAACACTCCAGTCGTCGCCATTCGCCTTCGCGGGTTCCGGCATTGCTTGCTTCCCCAAACAAAGATTACTTGACTTGGACTCCAACCGGAGTCCATTGAACGGAGAGACTCCAGGAGACCAGTCATCGGACTCGTCCGAGATTTGCATCTCAGATTTAGAGACCACCAACCTCAGATTAACTGACCTCCAAAGTCCTACGTAGGACTCGGCAAAATAGAGAGGTTTCGCAAAGCAACTTGTGAGAGTTAGCGACAATACATTCCCTACCCCTCTATAGAGACGTGTGTCTACAAGTTGTTCTCGACTCGTCTAGAGCGCCCTGTACACGTTGGTACTTGAGGAGATACGGGTAAGCATTTTACAATCTCCCAGCAATCTTTACTATGGAGAAGCCAAACCAAACGCACAACAACCCCGTGGAGGAGGCCCCACCGACGAAGCGTCGTAAAACGATGGTCCGCTTTACGGATGAGCTTGACTTCCAACTGATCCAGGAAGCTCAAGCCAGAAATCCGTATGGGGAAGACTACGGGAAGAAGACCCAGGCTTGGGCTGATGTAGCTGCAGCTTTGGTAGTGGACGTCGACGGTCGCCGTTGCCGCGAGCGCTGCAACCAGCTCGTAGATGCGTATGAGGCAAAGCAGATGGCGAGTGAGAAACCAAGCGGGCCGTGTGAAGAGTACGCGCCGAAGAAGGAATGTCTGGCGAAGCTGCTGGAGATGCGCGAGATAGAGGCGCTGCTGAAGAACGACAAGAAGCAGCAGAAGGACCAGCAGCAGGAGGAGGACGAGCAAGCTAGCGCTATGCGCGGCGCAGCCTTAGAAGGGATGAGCCGAGGAGGAGGAAAAGGTGGATCGCAGCAGCAGCAACTGGTTGCATATCTCGAACGCCGCGACCAAGTCGCTCAAGCACTGGAAGGGAGGAAGGTCGCCAACGAGGGGAAGCGGCTTGTGTTGGAGGAGCGACGCCTGGAACTGCAAGAGCTGCGAATGGAACTTGAGCGAGACGAGCGACTTGCGTTTATTGAAATGTTAAAGGCTGTCGTCAGCAAGACTAGTTCGTAGTAGCTAGACTAAGATTCTCCTCGAGGCTTGGCGGCTTAATGGAAAAGAATTTGCTGATCTGGTTGGGGTTGAAACAGTTGCGGAAGTTTGTCAGGAGTACACCGACCAAGTAGTGTTTCCCCACAGGTGATAGATATAGTCTTTGACTCAGTCTCAGATCAAGAAACGGCCATAAGCGAATGATCCCTCCGAACCCCCACTCCACTGCCACGCGAACTTTACTCATAGCCGCGTTGAATGCCTTTTGCGTATCACTCAGATTGGAGCCCTTGAAACCGACGTGCAGCGTTGGTTTGAGTGGGTAGGCAGGATCCCCATAGATGCAATACCGAAGTTCCCCGTCGTGATGTAAGACACGCGGAAGGCGCTCCAGCAGTCCACTCTGCCTTAAAAGCCAAGAGTCGTGACGACGTCCAACCGTAGGACCGTAAAAGTTGATGAATAGTCCGTCCAGCGCCATTACTCCTTGGTATTTTAGCGCGTGTTTCCTCTTGTGTCCGTTGTAAACTTGTTTTTGGTTGCGCGTTGGGCGTGCAATAGCACGCACAGTGCCATCGATAAAACCAATGCATCTCGGCTCCGGTGCTCCACGTTGTGCCACAGCAGCAGCGTACTACTCCAATCGCGACGACGTAAGTAGCCCACATTCAATGGTGAGTAGGCATTTGTACTTGTCGTACACCAACCCCAGCATGAAGTTAAATATCATGCAGACAATAGGGGCGGACCGCCCGAAAAAGCGGCTTAAGTCTCCATAACGTCCCGGGTATGCCATGCGGCGCAAGAGAATGCAGAGGCCCTCGAAACCGGAGAAGCCAGCTCGATTTGGGAGTTTATAGCTGCTGTCTAGGCGGAGCGCTTCAAAGAGTCGAAATAGGTCTCGCTTCCAGAAGCGAACGTAGAACCGTGTTTCGTAGTCGTTGAGCGCGTTGATGTTAAAGCGTTCGCCGTAGGAAATGGACCGGGGGACGTTGCTTGTGGACGACGTTCGAGCAGAGAGGAGACAAACCGCTTCTTCCTCTGAGAGCATGCCGAGCACGAGAAGGTCTTGTACGTAAGTAGAGTCCATCTTTGAAAATGCTACAGACGTACAAGTCTAAGTTGCGAAAGCTCGTTCTAGAACTTGGCCGAATAAATCTATGGCCGCTCTCTGTCAAATCTTTCGAACGGCTCTAACTTCCACAAGTTTAACTTGCGAAACCTCTCAAATGACCGAAAGGCACAATAGATGATGTTTGTTGGGGGATGCTTCACATCGGCTGCATGTCTTACCTCAATACACGTTCTCCACTTGGATAATGTCATGATACCTGTATCAAGGCTGAGAACAGACTGGAAATGTTATCATAATGAGTCGGGAGGTGACCGGCTCACAGTGTGGCACCGCACTCCAGTACTGCACTGTAATGGTTCAATCATCATGGTACAACCATAATGGTTGTACAATGAGGTGCTACAGTATCGTTTGGCAACTAACTGCATGAGGATAATGACAAATGCGTGATGCATCGTGAGGTGGAGTGTGGATTTTGACTTTTTGGCAACTGCGGAGGATAGCGTTTGCGTTGCGACACCGCGGTGCTGAGTCAGCGCGAAAGGGATTTTCAAGGCAAAAAAGTAGCCATCTGATGCAGAGCAAGATTTTGTGCGTGAAACGAGGACCGAGGCGCCCGGCCAGCTATGCAAGCTTTCGGGTCGAGCTGCCGGCGGCTGTGCACACATGAAAATCAAGCGGTGCTGCAGCGAATGGATTGGGCTCCGCCTTGCCACACCCCGGCTAGGATAGGCACGCCGTGCCGTGCACATCGGCCACTCTGCTTGGTGTCACACAGGCTCACGACTCGTGAATCAGCGATTCAAACAGCAAATGGCGAGCACCACCGCCCAAACAGCAAGCCCCCGACTAGCAAAATCCCCGTTAGACTCCCACGCCCAGCAATGGATTTTCCCAACAAAAAGCTTTTCATGGCAACCACGAGCACCGTGCTGTCCCCTTTACAGCAACTACCTCCGTCTCTTATAACTTGCAGCTCCCGCTCTCATTGGTCCGCCTGTCGACTCACCCTGCTATCATAGGTACACCGCCGGTCTCTACCCTCCTTAAAATCAGTCCGCCGGCAGATTTGCCATCCAAAAAGAGCTTGAGAGGCTCTCGCTCGCTCATGGCTCTTGGCTCATTCACCTTTGCGCCGCGCCAAGAGTCAACAACCCCCGAAATCTTTCATTAACTTATCCTCCCCGCACCCCTCCTTTGACCCCCCCCCCCCCTCCATGGCGTCCGCAGCGCGCGCGCCCGTGCGGCGGCAGGCCGAGTCCAACTACCTGGACGTGAACCGCGAGATGGCGCTGCACCGCCTCGAGAGCTTCCACGCCGCGGCGCGCGGGCCCTTCGAGCTGCTGCAGAGCAAGTTCGGCTTCCAGCGCGCGAGCGTGGCCAACCAGAAGGAGAACCTGGGCTGCTGGATCTCCAACTACCAGATGCGCGTGCGCGCCGAGGCCCCCCAGGGCGCCGCCGAGAGCAGCGACTTCGTCACGCGCACGGCGCTCGCGCGCGTGCACAAGAAGTTCTTCAAGAACTACAACATGTGGTGTAAGTTTCTGCGTACGCCCCCGCGCGCGTGCGACCCGGACAAGGACAACACGGCGCGCATGGAGAAGGAGCTGGCGCTGTTCCTGCTGCTGTGGGGCGAGGCCGGCAACCTGCGCTTCATGCCCGAGTGCATCTGCTTCCTGTACCACAACATGGCGGCCAAGCTCGAGTTCCTCGACACGCTGCCGGACGTGGGGGGCATGTTCTACCTCAACGCGATCGTGCGCCCCGTGTACCGCGTCATCGCCAAGATGCGCACGGCCACGGCGCCCAAGGGGGAGCGCCCCTTCGACCACCAAGACACGACCAACTACGACGACGTCAACGAGTTCTTCTGGACGAGCAAGTGCCTCGAGTGCGACGAGATGAACGTGGCCAAGGTGCTCGAGGTGCACGACCCCAAGACCTTCAAGGAGAAGCGCAGCGTGTTCAACCCCGTGCTGGCCTTCTTCCGGGTCTGGTACTTCTTGGTCGTCATGTTCCACGTCATGGTGGTCATCACGTATGTGGCCTACATGGCCGAGGGCGACGACGACGGCGGGCTCGGATTTTTCTTCCGGATTTTCGACAGCGGCCAGAATAAAATCCGCGCCCACGCATTTTACTCCATCTTCGTGACGGTCACGGGGCTGTTGGCCATGAAGGTGGTGATGCAGATCTGGCTCTTCGGACTGAGGCTATACAAGGACCTGTGGATGGCCGTCGGAGTGTTCTGCAGACTGATCTGGCACTCGATGTTCTTCGCGCTGTTTATGATTATCAACTTTTCCCCGGATGAGTCGGCGCTTTTCGGCTCGCTGAGCAGTATTTTACCCGGAGGAGGCACTGCCGGGTCGTATCTTTCCATGGGGTTGGTGTACTTGGCGCTTTACAGTATCCCGGTACTGACCGCGGCGGCCATGCGAGCGTTCTTCCCCAATGCGATTTGGGGCATTCGAGTGGTGAACGCGCTGGACGGAACCAGTCGACAGTACGTGGGACGCAACACGGCGCAGCCCTGGGCCAACTACTCGCAGTATTTCCTGTCGTGGTTTATTATCTTCTTCTGCAAGCTGCTGTTCGCGCTGCAGTTCATGATCCGCCCGCTGATGGCGCCGTCGATTGAGATTTATGACATCACCGTGGACGACAATGGCGTGTTCCAGTCGGGCCACAACATCATGTTCATCATCGCGCTGTGGGCTCCGATCTTCGTCGTGTACATGTACGACGCGCAGATTTGGTTCATTTTGTACCAGTCGATCATCGGTCTCATCATGGGCAAGCGCATGAACATTGGACACTACGTGGGACTGGCGCAGCTCAAGACGGGCATGGCGGGAGCACCGAAGCTGTTTGATGAGAAGGTCGTGTCGCTCAGGACCAGGAAGCCGAACCCGGAGGTCGCGACACCTGTTCCCGGTGGAGGCGACGCGGGTGAACTCCGTCACCGTGACGTTGTGCGTCTGCGGTTTGCCATCATTTGGAACCAAGTGGTGGACAACTTCCGTCTCAACGATCTGCTGGACGACCGCGAGACGGTTATCCTGCAGTACCGTATTCTGAACAAGGGCGAGCGCATCCAGGAGCCGATTTTCCTCCTGGCTGGCAAGTTGTCAAAGGCCGTTGACGTGGCTGCGAAAGCGCGTTCGAGCAAGTGGGACCCCGCGACTTTGATCAAGAACATCGCTACTGCGGACGCCCTGGAAGGCATGAAGAACGGACTGGACCTGGTCCGCGACATTTTCTATTTGCTGCTGGGCGAGGAGGAGGAGAAGGGCGCGCTCAGCGTGCTGGAGTACATTTACTCGTCGCCCGATGTTGTGTCCCTGCTGGATATGACGTACATGCCGCAGCTTTCGAACAACATGGTGGAGCTGCTGGCTGTGATCCTGGATATGCCGGAGGAGATTTCGTCCATCGACTCGCTGGACAACCTGCCGGAGGAGCTGCGGATGGAACTGCACGTCCAAGTCGCTCAAGTCGTCGACCGCCTCCGCGCTATCGCTTTGACGATGGAGTTGATGCTGAAAGATGAATCCGTATCGCGCAAGCTACACACCTGCAGGTTCCTGCAGGCCACCGACGACCTCGAGTTCCAGACCCAGAGGATGATCTACCTCTACAAGGCTGATGCTATGGCTGAAACGGGTTTGATCGCCGTTCATCCCGGAGATGGATCGGCCACAATGCCGCCGCGTTTCGCCCCGGAGGACTTCATTTCCAGTTGCACGCGCCTATTCTTCTTGCTCCGCCTGGACGTCGCCAGCTCGCTCCCTCGTTGCGAGGACGCCAAGCGTCGCATGGGCTTCTTCCTTCACTCGCTTGCGATGGAGATGCCGCGGGTGGATTCTTTGGAAGCCATGCCGTCGTTCTCGGTCATGACCCCTTACTACTCTGAGACCGTGCTGTTTACGCTGGATGAGCTGAACAACCCCGTTCACTCGAACGCGCTGTTCGCGGAGCTGGAGAAGAAGCAGAAGGAGAAGGGCTGGACAGAGCTTACGATCATGAAGTACCTGATCACGTTCCACGCTGAAGAATGGAGCAACTTCCTCGAGCGAATGGGCGCTAGGTCGCTGGACGAGGCGCTGGAGATCAACCCGACGGAGGTGCGTCTCTGGGCTTCGATGCGCGGTCAAACGCTGGCCAGAACGGTGCACGGAATGATGCTGTACGAGGACGCGATCCGACTTCTGCGTTGGCTGGAGGTCTACTCGCTGCGTGACATGAACCTGCAGGAAAAGCTGGACGAGATGAACCGCATTTCCGCGCTGAAGTTCTCCTACATCACCGGTTGCCAGATTTACTCTCAGCAAGTCGCCAAGGGCGACCATCGTGCGGAAGACATCGACTACCTGATGAAGAAGTTCCCGAGTTGGCGTGTGAGTTTCGTGGACACGATCAAGGAGAAGGACGGCGACCAGGAGATCACTCGCTATGACGGTGTGCTCGTGAAGGCTGAAGGCAACGAGATTGTCGAGGTTTACCGCTACGAGCTGCCTGGCAACCCGATTCTTGGCGAGGGTAAGCCCGAGAACCAGAACGTGGCGCTGCCCTTCACGCGCGGTGAGTACCTGCAGACGATCGATATGAACCAAGAGCACTACCTTGAGGAGTGTCTGAAGATGCCGAACTTCCTGGCGACTGCGACGAGCACGGGCGAGGAGGTGACTGTGATTGGTATGAAGGAGCACGTGTTTACCGGTCGTGCGTCCTCTCTCGCTCGGTTCATGACGCTGCAGGAGCTGGTGTTCGTGACGCTGACCCAGCGCGTGTTGGCCAAGCCGCTGCGCTCGCGTATGCACTACGGCCACCCGGATGTGTTCGAGAAGTCCTTCGTTGTGACGAGTGGTGGTGTGTCCAAGGCCAGTAAGGGTATCAACCTGTCGGAAGATGTCTTCAGTGGTTACAACGTTACTCTTCGCGGCGGATTGGTGACCCACGTTGAGTTTATGCAGTGCGGTAAGGGTCGTGACGTGACGCTGAGTCAGATCAACGCGTTCGAGGCCAAGCTATCCAATGGGTGTGCTGAGAGTTGTTTGAGTCGTGAGGGTCACCGCCTGACCAACTCGCTGGATTTCTCGCGCCTGAACTCCATGTTCTACGGCCACTTCGGCTTCTACATTTGCAATGCTCTGACAGTGTTCTGTGTGTACGTGTACGCGTACTGCAAGCTGTACGTCGCGACGCACTCGGAGGTGGAGATCACGGCTATCATGAAGACCGGCAGCCTCGACTCGCTGTCCAGTGTGATGACGACGCAGTATCTGCTTCAGTTCGGTATGCTGACCACGCTGCCTTTGTTCGCGACTCTGTTCGTGGAGTTTGGCTTCAAGCAGGCGTCGATGAAGGTGGTGGAGCTGTTCGCGACGTTGGGCATTGTATTCTACGTGTTCCTGACGGGCACGAAGGCGCACTTCTACGACGTGGCTCTGATTCGTGGTGGCTCCAAGTACCGAGGAACCGGTCGTGGTTTCTCGATCACGCGCGACCCCATGGTGAACTTCTTCAAGGAGTACGGCGTCTCGCACTTCCGCAAGGCTGTGGAGCTGATCGGCGTGATGATTCTGTTCGGAGTCTACGGGTCGTTTGACATCGGCTCCGATGCGCTGGAGGAGTACTGCGCGACTGCGGACTTCGACTGTGACACGGACCCGGATCTGATTCCTTCCAACATCACGTCGCTGGCAGCGTTCAGCAGCAAGTCGCAGAGCTACGGCATCGCCTCGCTTGCTGTGCTGTTCCTGGGTGCGTGTTGGCTCATGGCCCCCTTCGTGTTCAACACGGACGGTCTGGTGCTGCAGAAGTCCAAGGTGGATATCGCCAACTGGTTCACGTGGATGATGCGCTCGCAGCACAAGGACGACGCCAACAACGACGAGGAGAACGGCAAGAGCGCGAGCAGTGCCGCTCTACAGCCGAAGGACGGATGGGACGACTGGTGGAAGTCGGACGTCGACTTGATGGTGCCTCTGGGTCCCATGGGCCGTCTCACGTACTGCCTCCGTGAGCTGCGCCACCCGCTGGCGATGTATTATGTTTTCCTGACCGAGTTCACGCTTCCGTGGCTTGCTCTGCTGTTCGGAGCTATGGGCGCTACGTGGGCGCTGCTGTGGTTTGGAAACCGTGTGCACCACTGCGTGTCCAAGCACCGCAAGCTCAAGTCGCTTGCGGTTCAAGGCATCCTGTACATGGTGGGCGTCATTGGAGGCATCATGCTGGTGCCACTCATCCTTGGAGCTATGGGCGGCTGGTCGGTGCTCAAGTGCTTCACGTTCTCCATCTCGATGATCTTGGGCTTCAACTCGATTGTGCAGTACGCCCTTGCGTTCAACGGCGTCTTCGGAATGGAAGTGGCGATGTGGAGCCCCATGATGACGCTTGGTTTCCTCATGGACATGATCGTCGGCATCTTCCTGGTGGTGCCGCTGTTCCTGCTGTCGCTGCTGCCGTTCATGCGCATTCTCCAGACGCGTGCCATGTACAACGGCGGCTTCTCGCGCGCGCTGAGCTCAGGCTCGGAGGTGGCGGCGTCGCTGTGCATCCTGCTGGGCCTGCTGGGCGGCTTCATCCACGGCTTCACGACGTCCTTTGTCTATACTCTTGGCTACATTAACGACCCGGACGAGAACTTCATGAACCGATCGTTCTACTACTTCGTGACGACCAAGCTGCCCAACAGCGGCTCGGAGATGCTGAGCTATATGGAGAACGGATACCTGAAGATCACCTGCGCTGGCATGAGCATTCTTGCCGTCCTCCTGTCGCTTCTTATTGGGCGCGTCCTCGGACGCCGCGTGAACATGGCGATCGGCAGCAGTCTGATCTTCGCGTCGCTCGGCCTCAACTTTATCTCAAGTACATCGATCATCCTGGTGTCGTGCGGCATGGCGGCCATGGGGTCGGCCATGCTGGTGATGAACTACCTGCTCTACAGCTACGAGATCTGTACGAAGGGCTGGCGCGGCAAGAGCGTGACCATTTTCCTGCTTGGATCTATGAGCGGTTGGTTCGTGCACTCGCTGCTGACGGCCAATACGAACGCGACCACCATCAGCGAGGACTGGGACAACAAACCGACCAATATGTGGCGCCTGCAGCCGATATTCGTCCAGCCAGCGCTGATCATCGCCTTCTTTGCCATTCTGTGGTTCGTGCCCGAGAGTCCTGTGTGGCTGCTTGCCCACCAGCAAGAGGAGCCGGCCCGCGCCGTGCTCATCCGTCTGCGTCGCCGTCAGAACGTGAACCCGGAGATCGCAATGGTTCAGGCCGAACTGACGCAGAAGACGAGGGAGAACCACCTCATGTTCCGCTTGTCCATCGTGTTCGCGCTGCAGGCCGTCTTCGGGCTGATTATGTCGCAGTCGCTGCTCATCCGACGCACGCTGCAGGTGAACGCGGACGACTCGGGCAACGCCAACAACTACTGGGAGGTCTACTTCGCGCTGTGCTGCGCTACGGGCTACGCGTTCGGCAGCTTCCTGGTGGACAACGTGCGTCGCAAGACCATCCTGAAGGAGTTCATGCCGTTCGTGGCGCTCATGGCGTTTACTTGCGGTGTGATCGGAGCTGTGTCGAAGGCCGATGGTGGCCTCGTTCAGGCGTTGTCGTGCCTGCTGTACATCTCGGCGGGTTTGAGCATCATGAGCGTGACGTGGCTGTCGGCATTGGAGATGTTCCCGGCCTCGCGCAGACCTCTCTACTGGACGCTGTCGCTCTGCGTGTTCTACGCTGTTCAAGTGGTGATCTACCTGCTGGACCCGTCGTTCGCGCTGGCGCACTTCATCTTGTGTGGCTGCTCGGTGGCGCTTACGATCGTGCTCTTCATGTTCTGCGCCAGTACCAAGCTGGGCGCGATCCAGACCAAGGCCGAGAAGAAGTACCAGCGGTCCATGCGCGAGTCCGCGCCCGAAATTGTGGAAGCGGTCGATGAACGTGGGGACGTGGACGACCTGCACAAGCAGCAGACCCGCATTGCGCAGACGTCGGCTGCCATGAACCGCTCGGCAGCGTCCAACCCGGCGTCGTCCGCTGCTCAAGTCAACTTTGGCGCGTCAGGTGCTGCTCAGGTGAACTTTGGGGTGTCTGGAGCCAGCACGCGCGGCGGTGGCCCCCCTGCTAGCAGCGCCGGCTCGCGCGCGCAGGCCAACGCCACGCAGTTCGGCTTCAGCGGCGTCAACGTCACGGACCAGCCGAGCGAGTCGGCTCGTCGCAGCTCGACGCACAATGAGACGGACCACTTCAGCTTCCACCGCCTTGCGAGCATGGAGGACCCGGCCACCACCGGTGGCAGGCCGCAGCTGCGCTACGGAGTGAGCACGGGGCTCAGCAGCTCGCAGTCGTCGTCCACGGACTTGTCCGCCACGAACGCCGAGCGGCTGCGGCAGATGACGCGGCTGTCGTCCACGTTCGACTTCGAAGCCGAGTTCGAGGCCGAGCACATCGAGGACCTGCGCCAGGGCCAGATCGCGTACCCGCGCGGCCAGCCGCGCTCCGTCTCCTTCCTGCAGTCGCAGCAGTACCCGGACGCCGAGCTGCACGCAGAGACCCAGTCCGTTCGACTCTAGGATAGAGATGATGTAGTAGCGTAGGTAGGTAGGTAGGTTACAGACAACGACGGATAAATCCGGCACCACTGAATGGCATCCTCCATAGAAAATGTGCCAGAATTCTCTGTCAGGAACGATAGATATTATACAAGGCAATGACATAAAATACACGTAACGGAGCATAAAGTACACACAAATTTATAGAAAGTACTTAAAACCATATGGAATACAAATGTCAAGTGTAAATCTCGAAGTTGATTGGCTATCTGAATTACTTATTGTAAAAAGTACAACATATGTGTGCCGGGTTTTGCGTTGCCGTATTTATCCGTCGTTGTCTGTACCTTGGGCAGATTATAATAGTCTTGGAGACTAGATGAACAAGTAAATGCACGTTTCATATTATTTAGTTGGCAGCGTTTCAGCTTCGGCTGAAGTTCGCAATGGAGGCGCCAACAGGTTTCATCATGCAAGTGATGGATAGGCTTCGAAGAGCGGCTGGGGCATTCCCACACCCATTCGAGCGCCATCTGATGATGGAGAAGTCACACGTCTTATGCCCCTCATCATCTTTCTTTCGCCAGCGATGGATAGGACGACGGACAGTCACGACTTCCGCCGGTCTCATGCGTGCACGAAGGAAGGAAGGAAGGAACGAGGGGGGGGGGGTTGTCCAACACCGACAACAAGCAACAAACTCTGCATTTTTCACAGTTGATCGCCCGACAATTCCCCACTTCGTCTTCTTCCTTATCAATCCGTGCCATGCACCGACCAGAAAGAAGCAAAAATGTTTTCCCAAGTTCGCATCGAGGCAAAATGCTCTTTTGCCCTCGCAAAGGTGGCTACACTTTTTGCTTCCGGCGGCCCCACCCTGGCAGCAGCAATGCACGTCCAGCCCCAAGGCCAAGTCCACACGGGCCACCGCATTTTCAGACCTGATTCCTGTCGCTGCTGGCCGACGACGCCGCGACCAGCTGGACGACGCCGTCCCTGCCACGACGCGGCGATCATTCGCAAGCCAAGCCAAACAGTAAAAACCCGAGTCGACTCGGTAACGACCAGAACCAGCCCAAAGCCCCAAGCAAGCCCCGCCCCCCCCAAGACAGGCGCTCCGCCTCTCTTTTCAGCCGTTTCGCAGCGCATTCGTGCTCTCGCCGCCTTCATTTCGCAGTTCAGTTCCGAGTCCTCCCTCACACTCACACGGTTCAGGTAGAATGCCCCCGCGGTCCCTCGTGCTGGTGTCGAGCCTCCTGGCGCTGGCCCTGTCGGCCGTGGCCGAGGCCCACTGGATGGCGCTCGAGGCCTCGTCCTCGTCCGAGTGCTGCAGCACGTGCATCGGCAAGACGTCCAACACCGTGTACGACTACGACCCCGTCATCTACGCGCAGTGCTCGAACGTGACCGGCGGCATCTGCTGCTTCGACTGCGGCGACCTGGGCGAGCCCCAGTACGGGGACACGGTCTCGTACGCGTCGGACGGCGTCACGGCCGTGATCACGGCCGGCACGTACGTCTCCTTCACCTGGAGCAGCGTGGTCAACGTCACGTACATCTCGCTCAAGACCGGCCAGAAGAAGACCAAGACGCCGACGATCTCGGACACGGCGGCAGACGAGAAGTCCAGCACGTTCCTCATCTGCGCCAAGGCCGCGGGCACCATCTACTTCCGCGGCTGGGGCAGCGACTCGTGCCGCGAGGCCTCGCAGGAGTACTCGGTGACCGTGGAGGCCGGCGACTCGAGCACCAGCACGTGCGACGCCAGCGACGTGACGGTCACCACGGCGTCCAGCGCCGGGGGCGACACCTCGAACTCCGTGGCGCAGGACGACACCGTGGCCGAGTGCAATGCGCAGCGCGCCAGTGTGCAGGTCGTGGACGGCACGCAGACGTGCGTGTGCGTCTCGGACTGGACCAACCCGCCCGAGTGCGACCAGTGGCCCATCTGGAAGTGGCTGGTCACCGTCGGAGGTGGCGTGGCCGCGCTCTTCTCCATCATCATCTCGGTGCGCGCGTTCCTGCAGGGCCGGAAGAAGAAGCAGGAGGCGGAAGACCGCGAGAACTTGGCGCCCATGGGCAGCAAGAGCGACGTCGAGACGCTCGAAGTGACGCCCGACAGCGGCTACCACAGCAACGCCGCGTTCAAGTACGACCCCGAGGCGGACCGCGCACCCGGAGGCGCGCGGAAGGCGGACGACCGCGAATTCACGCTGTGAGGAGGCCCCCACTTGTATTCAGTTGACCCCAAACACAGATAACGTTATAGCGCGGGCCAGGCCCAGCGCAAACTAGTTCCCTAGCTTCCGTCCGTCCCTCCAGCCCCACTTGGATGTGTCTCCTACGTCGTGGAATTCGCTACGATGTTTAATGTAGTGTATTCTACGAGATGGCATGCATGGGCAGGATGAAGCAGCACCCCCAAGATGACACTGACCCTTATGTGCAATATACCCCCTCAGCTCCTTTTTGACCCTAAACTGGATGGAATAGAAGTTGACCAGAAGTTCGTGTTCCTGCTCATGAGCTTGGTGATCTTCACTGTTTGTATGAGACCGAAGGGTCTGTGCGCCGTGCGATTGCTGGATGTGGAGTTTTTCTTGGCCTCGGAAAGGCTCGAGATAGTCGCCATCACCAGTCCACCGGCCCCATCGACCTTACGACAGTCGCCTCTTTTTATTCGGTTTGTAGTGGTTTCGCATCGGCCCAATTCGTGCTCTCGTGCACTAAAGCCACCTCCTCCGTGCGCATGCGTGGGCGTCCAGCTGTGAGTCATTTGAAGAGTTGATACTAAGACTCCACAGCTCAATGCTGTACCAAACCGTGCTGCTACTGCTGCTGGCCTTGTGGCTGGGCGGGACCCAGGCCAATGAGGAGGTGGTCGCCGCCAGCTCGTCCTCGGAGTGCTGCAGCTCGTGCATCGGCAAGACGGCCTCCGTCCCGTACAACTACGACCCCGTCGTCTTCACTCAGTGCACGGCCGTGTCGGGCGGCGTGTGCTGCTTCGACTGCGGCGAGATCGGCGACCCGCAGTACGGGGACACGGTCTCGTACGGATCCGACGGCGTCACTGCCGTGGTCAAGGCCGGAACGTACGTCTCCTTCACATGGAGCAACGTCGTCAATGTAACGTACATCTCGCTCAAGACTGGGCAGAAGAAGACGCAAACCCCCAAGATTTCGGACGCAGCGGCGACCGAGAAGTCCAGCACCTTCCTCATCTGCGCCAAGGCGGCGGGCACCATCTACTTCCGAGGGTGGGGCAGCGACTCCTGTCGAGAGGCGTCCCAGGAGTACAATGTGACTGTCGAGGCTGGAGACTCCAGCGCTACCACCTGCGATGCCAACGACGTGAAGGTACCCACAGCGTCGAGTTCTGGGGGGTCTGGCAGCTCAGGCGACGCCAAGGCTGGATCGGGTCCGAAGGACGAGACGGTGGACACTTGCAACGCCCAGCGAGCGAGTGTGCAGACTGTGGACGGCGTGCGGACTTGCGTGTGCGTGTCCGACTGGACTAACCCGCCCGAGTGCGACCGGTGGCCGACGTGGAAGTGGCTCGTGACGATCGGAGGAGCGTTGGCGACGGTGTGCTCCATTATCATGTCCGTGCGCGCGTTCCTCCAGAGCCGCAAGAAGAAGCAGGAGGAGGCGGACCACCTCGACAACTTGAACCAGAAGAAGTACGAGGAAGAATACCCGAGGAACAATGACGACGAGTACCGAGAGAATCTGGCGCCCATGGGAACCAAGAGCGACGTCGACCCCGCGGATTTAACACCCGCTGCTGAATACCAGAAGCACGACCCGGAGGTGCAACGCACGCCTGGGGGCACGCGAAAACCCGACGAACGCTTGTTCTCGCTCTGAAAAGAGCACAACGAGTTCTAAACAATTCCTACCTAAGATTTTATAGCGCTGCCAAACTAGCGCGACTCGAGTAAGAACACGAATTCCCTTTCTGCTCGACATTATTTCCCCCAGCAATCAGGTGCACCAGGTTCTTTGATCCCTTTGACTCCACTTGACAAAGCGCTGCTCACCGAAACTGGATCGGCTTCGGACGGACGATCACCAACACGAATTGACACAATTCACAACGCGGAAATCCCCTCCAGAGAGAGAGAGCTCACTGTAGTGCTCTCTACTTTTATTAATGCATTAGGCGTTCGATGGGGGTATTCGTGAGTCAGCTGCAGTGCCAGTCTTGTGGGTTAGTTTCCTTTAAGCTGGCACGATCAAGACACTGCTTCAGTACCTGACATTTTATAATTATTTGTAGACCCCTTGGCCGTAAGCGAAGCAGTGTGCACCGCGATATTCCGCGACGTCGTCGTATGTGGGTCACCCCTGGGTGAACGTCTGCTGGATGGGTTGTAGGATCGAAGTGGATGTTGATAACTTATCAAAGATTCGAATTTGAATCATGGATGCCCATGACTGCAAACCAACAGCGCATCAACTGCTACATATGTAAACGAGAATGACCTCGCGGCCTCCGTCCCGTGTCTTAGATGTAGTGCATGGGAGCTCGATGCAAAAGCAAGAATCCAGAATGCAAAAGTGCAAATTTACGTGATGCTCCCTATCTGTATAGTATACACTATACACTATGTATAGTTGCTCTACAAATGTCGTTGTTGCAAATCAAAGGATACTTGAGAGTTTGGCAAGATTCGTCGGCGTAGCTGCTTGTGATCTTGGCGCGCCACATACTAACTACTATCGTATTGGCAGTGCTAATTTAGCATTGCTGAATAGCAAGCTTTTCATTTGTTTTTCCGATACTGGTTCCCAAAAGTCTACCATGAACCCATAAGCATTAAAACCATGTTTAGAAAAAAAAGTGGGCTCGCTCCCTACACTTCTCTTAGCACAATGCAAATGCGAGCGCGCTTGCAATCGCCATCATAGCTGTTGACGGCAACAACGTTGCCACTGCTGAATTCACAGTCGACCCTGAACTGGAAGACGCGGAGGCGTCGGACCGCAGTGACGAAGCCGTCGACTCGCCCGAACTGGTAGATGAGTCGCCAACATCCGCCATGGAATTCGACGAACCCGACAACGAACTTCCGAGCGTAGCACCGGCCGTCGACGAGCTGCCCGCCAACTGTGGAGTAGAGGACGATGACGCGTCCGCACCATTAGTCGACGAGCTCGAGTTGGTGTTCGGAGCCGTCGTTGCGCCGTTAGGGGAGGACCCCGAGGTGGTATTACCAGCAGATCCCGAGGTCGTACTTGAACCAGTCGCGGCGGTTGATCCCGAAGCAGCCGTCGATGCAACGCCAGTGGCTGAACCAGCGCTTGACGCCAAGGCGGAACCGGTGGTGGACGATCCTGGGCACACCATGGTCTCGCCACTGCACATTGCTCCGGTAGAGCAGTCGCTCAGCGTGTACTGGCAGCTCGTCGAGCACAGCTGCGCAGTGACCGAGGTGTCCGTGGTGCAGGAGCAGCTCTGGCCGCACTCCGACATGCTGTTGGCATCTCCGACGCGGTTGCACAGCGTGTTGCAGTCTTCAGAGGTGGAAGCCCCTCCCGTCGAAGTGCAGATGCGGCGAGCGCAGTTGCCTTGTGTCGACTGGAGGAAACGCGCCGTGGAGCTCTCGACAGGGACAGTCGCAAGCAGCAGGCTCAGGACGACAGAAAAGGTGCGGACCATTGTAGCCAAGTGGAAAAGCTTGGTAAGTATAGGACGACGATGTATCGCTTGCGATGGAAATTGGAAAGTGAGGCACTTCAGGAAGATCTCTTTCGGCGGGGACAAGCAGCTGGAGCGCGCGTCTCTATCGATCGGCTGGACGTCGTTGCTGTATCTTGGCAGCCGTGCGAGCGCATATGATATCCTATGCCCCTTTGGCCAAGCATTGCGCGCCGAAAAAGTGTTGTTGTGAGGTTTATTACGTCCAGATGTGTTCATCTCGAGTGATTTTGGTGGGTTCCACGTGGCTTCACAGACCAGAAGGAGCCATGTTTCGCTCGGCTTCGACTTGCTCCTGCACATTTCCTTTTGACTCCATACCGACGGTGAAGCTGTGACCGGAAACAGTATTATTAATATATTGGGGAACGCCATGCGCATGATAAGATTTCGCTGGACGAGGATCCATGATGGGCAGGTGCAGTTTTACCTTTTTTTCAAACATGCAACCTATGACGGCTTCATCCAATACGCATGCCGCGAACACGCGTCGAACTATCCAGCATTGCCAATATTTTGCCTCCACGACGCTTATCCCAGAAGCCTTAATTTTACCACCCCGATAGCATTCGTTCATCTTGTCTGCTCGGCATGAAGACTCAAAATGGATTGCGGTGAATGACAAACACAGCTTGCAAATCTGCAAGATGCAGCTTGTCCAAGCGAAGCAGAAAGCCGAGACGCATCGTGCCCATCATTCGGTATGCCCACCTTTAGATAGAGTACAGACAACGACTTACAAAGCCGGCATGCTTAATGCCATCCTCCTATATAAAAACAACGATAAATTCCCTCCCGTCAAATCTGTAAAACTGTCATAAAACACACGGCGTGTTGCATAAAGTACACAAGAAAGCATATAAAGTACACACAACCAGATGGTATACAAAGATGAAGTCATTCGATTGAATCTGATTGGCTGGTTTGCTTATGTTAAGCTTTGCTTGACTTCGTCTGCCGGCTTTTTGTGTCTGCCGGCTTTGTAAGTCGTTGTCTGTACGTGCGCATGCTGTCGATGATAGCAATACAAACCATGTCGTTTGTTCTCCATATATAATTTTTATACCCGATGAGGTAAAACGGGTACTCAGTGTTTCAGGCGAATGAGCTCTAACTTGGGTTTTCAAAGCTGGAGCACCTGCGAAGTTCCATAATAATAAGCCTAACGCAAAAGAACAAGATAAGTCTATCGTGCCAACACAATTTGACTTCTGCACACTTGTCTTTCGGGTGTATGGACAGCGGGAGTTACGTTATTATAGCAGCAGGCTGCAATAGGTAAATGAAAATGAAAAAGTGGTGCGTGGCATATAACCAAGAGGACCAAAAGTGATATTAATGAAGTACGTAATGCGCGCGCTTCCTCAAGCGCTGGTTGCGCACGTTATCCCGTTTTTCAGTGACCTGCACTAGCGACACGCCATTTTTTTTACTTGGTGCCGCCTTCAGTCTTAGAAGTCCCTCTGGCGACTAATTTGATACATCCAATGAGAAGAATGACAAGCTGCTACTCTCCCTACGACCCAGTAGGTTTGGCACTGCAGGCAACTTCGTGATCGCCAAGATTATTGTTACCGTGATGTGTTGACGCATGCGACACATCTTTGCAGCTCACTGCACGGCCTCAATTCCCATGATCACCCGACTTGGACCTTTACCGCCAAAGGCAACCGCAGGCAACGCACTAAAACTCAGTGCATTTGTCTGTTCACGTGACTACTCTATCGCCGCAGTTGATTGACCTTACCGAAGTTGAGTTGCATGCTACTTGCCATTGATCGCCTCTGACCATCTCAGGCAGACTGAAGTGTTGATTTTCAAGGTAGCGCTCGTGCTATGCTCATCGGTGCAAACTTCTCCGCCCTCCGACACAATAAATGTACGGCCGACTGCTTGCCGAACCGGTTGAAGCAAGGTGCATCGTAACTTGCTTCGCTTGACGTAGACTGTCAACGAAGTCTTGCAAATAGGTACGTGGAAGCGAGCCAGTGCAATGCCTGCCCATCGCTTCATTATCTTACAGTGATTCGATCTCATCTTCTACATGACGTGCCCTATTAAAAAGTACAATGAAAACCAATTTTGGAGTAAATTAAAAACGTAACTTTTTAAATAGCTGAATGCATTTTCATCGTATATTACGTTATACAGGTTTCTGGAAGTAAATTGTACTACTGTACTTCTTGTTCCTAGAAACAATACCCTGTGTGAAGCGACGTGTTGAATGGTTCAAATTACAGGGCTTTTGCATGGAACTGCAACTTGGAACTTGATACCGCCCGCGGTAAAATTCGTAAAGTCGACAGACATCCATACAGCCCCAAAAGAACGTTGCAACTGACGACATTACTGCATACGTGACAAGCACAATGCATAAACTTCTCTTCACCTTCCTGGTTCTCAACGCTGCGTAAGCAACACAAAACATTTATCAAGGACGAGAAGAACCATTTTAATATTGGCGACCTCTCCTCACCTCTGCCACCTGATTTCTTAGATGTGCACGTGCATGTCACCACGACTCGAAACGTGCTGACAGTTGCCGACCGGGCAACGTCCTCGCCGCCGTTGAAAAATAAGGATAATACAATTCGAGCGCGCGGCATCGGCGCGTCTGGCTGTATGTTTCTGCCTCTGTTCATTTCCCACTTCCGAGCATCCTGTCCTCGAGCCATCTTCTCCGCAATGAAAAAAAAGATGGATCGATGCTGTATCCTGCAACAGTCTTTTGGGCGTCGCTTTCCAGTTCTTTCCCCATCCCAACCGGTGGTCTGGAGCGCTTGCCTCGCCCTTTACCCGGAGTCGTAATCGTACTTAGGCGAGCTCGAAAGGCTTTGAAAACTAAGAAAAACCTAACAATACAAACGGCGTACCCCCCTCTGTACCGGCCTCACTCCCAGATTCGCCTCCATCGTGCGACTTGTCCTCGGTTATACAACCGCGGATAATGATGGCGCTATCACAGCGACCCTCCCGCAAGGCCAAACGAACGGACGTGGACTACGCCGTTCTGTCCTCGGGCCAACAGATCCCCGAGTATTCCACCGAGGAGGAGGACGACTCGGCGGACGAAAGTTACGGCTCGACCTACAAGAAGAAGCGCCGCAAACAGTCGACCCAGTGCTTTATCTGCCACCGACCGCCGCGCACCTACCGAAACACCATGCTGCAATGCGACAGCTGTTCCAGGCTGTAAGGCAGTCAAGTCTTATTTAGAACCTACCTTACCTTATCTTACCTTACCATTTGCACAAAGTTCACTAAAAGATAATTCTTATATTCTTCTTTTGTGTTTCTCTTTATGCACTCCCAGGTACCACGCAGCCTGTGGCAAGCCGTTCCAGTCAGCTTCTATCCTGGGCAACACGAGTTGCTACGAGTGTCTCCAGGAGGCCAAGGTGGACTCGTTGAGTGCTCTTCCTCGCAAGACGCTGGACTCCATCGCGGACTTTGTCAAGGTGCTCAAGAAGGCCAAGAAGATCGTCGTCATCGCCGGGGCAGGCATCAGCGTCTCCTGCGGTATCCCGGACTTCCGCTCCAAAGACGGAATCTACGCCATGGCTCGCAAAATGGACGTCGTGCTGCCCGAGCCCGAGTGTCTGTTCCAGATCGACTACTTCCGAGACGACCCGGCCCCTTTCTTCGAGGTGGTGCGCAGCGCCTTCTCCAACTCACCGAAGCCGTCGCCCACCCACTGGTTCTTAAAGCTGCTGCAGGACAAGAAGAAGTTGCTGCGAGTGTACACGCAGAATATTGACGGACTGGAGGAAGCGGCCGGAGTCACGAGGAGTATCCCGTGCCACGGCAGCTTTGCCTATTCGGCGTGCATGCGCTGCAAGAAGCGCGTGCCCACGAGCACGTTGATGCCTGTTATCCAGGCAGGCATCATCCCGACGTGCTCCGAGCCGAACTGTCGCGGCGTGCTGAAGCCTGAAATTACGTTTTTTGGGGAAATTCTGGACGATAAAGTGAGCACAACCATCACCAAGGACCGCTTGAAGGCCGACCTGCTTCTCGTTATGGGCACGTCGCTCAAGGTCGCGCCTGTGATGGAGATCCCGGGCTATCTGCCTGCCCACATCCCCCAAGTGGTGATCAACAAGACGGCGCTCAAGAAGAAAAAGTTGAAATCGAAAAAAATCTCGGCTGGGAAAATCAACCGGGTAAGTAGTAATAAGACGGACGAGGACTCGGCGTCGGATGAAGAGGAGTTCGATATGTCGCTCTTGGGGGATTGCGACGACATCATCCGGTACATTTGCGCCCAAGCGGGGTGGAAGCTGGACCCGGAGGCGGTTAACGCGGCGAAGAACAAACCCATGGTGCATACCAGTCAGATCATTTCGCACAAGGACGCGATTGGCAAGCAGGTTTATTGCTTTGGTGAGTGTCAGTGCAAGAACAAACTGGCTGCTGGTATGAACGACGACGATGACGAAGTCGAAGGAGAAGAACAAGAAGAAGAAGAGGGGGAGGAGGTGGAGCTTGGCGACGAGATTGTCTGGTACGTCTTGATGCTCGTATTCTTGGCAGGATTTATTTTGCCTAATGTGGTGCTATTCGCATTATTTATTATTTTTCAGCAATCGTTGCGAGGAGAGGATTGATCCCGATGCGGAGCCTGGTACGGGCGTCAAGACTGTTCACTACCGCTGCAAGTAAGTTGCTTCAAGCAATTATTTTCTCGGATGAGGGAGTCATTGTTGACAAGACGTTCTGACTTGTGTTGTTGATGTGCGCGCAGCGACTGCTTTGACTACGATTTGTGTGGAGATTGCTACCCCAAGAGGCGATACAAGCACAAGGGGGGCAAACATCGGTTCACGCAGTGCTTATAGAGGGTCGACATTTTCCTTGCGAAACGAGACCACTATTATGCTGATGGCCAAGACGATAAGTAGACAGTTCGAATGGCTTTCAGTGAGGTTTATTAATGCTGAACGTGAACCCGAGTATTCCTGCGAGTGTATGATCAGGCTAGCTGCAATGTGTGCACGGCAAGTCTTAATTCTGCAAAGAACAGAGCTACTACTACGTAGTAGTTGCGATTGCAATTTCGCCAGCCATTGGGGTGTCTGAAGGCGCGCGACTTGTGACCGGTCGAAGCTGTGCCGTTTTAAGAATGTGTTCGGTGACAAGGTGAGTTGCCAGTATGCAGTCAAGTTGGCTGCATTAATCGCCCTCACGCGCTGCATAGGAGCACGCTCGGGCGCTTTGCAACATTTCCGGACGAGTTGGCTGGCAAGTCCACCTCATTCGAGTAGATGCCTCGAAGACCTCACGCCACCTGCAAGTAAAGAAGCTAGCGGCATCGGCTCCCCCCCCCTGCGATGGCGCCTCCAACCTTCAGCACTTTGTATCTGTGCGTCCACTCGGCGCAGAACGCACAGATGAAGTCACGCTACGCGTACTGCAAAGTCTTCGTGGCGGACAAGCCAATGGTGGAGAATACGATGTTTGCTGCTTTCTCGAGTACGCACTCCCAGTCCTTCAAGACTCTCACTGCTCCTGTGGATAACAACGGACCAGTCTGGAAGGCGAAGTTCGAAGTGCACACCATCGATCCCCGAGTCGACGTGTTATCTGTTCTCGTGAAGAACCCGCAGTTGCTGTCCTGCCCAATTGTTGGAGTTTGTGTGATCGCTCTGAAGAACCTCATCGGTGCTGGACGTGTGGATCACTGGTTGGCGCTGCGCAAGGGCCGAATCCAAGCAGGTCAGATCCGACTACAATTGCTGTTGGAGAAGGTTGAGAACCCCTCCATTTCACCTCGGCCAGAGTATTCTCAAAACCAGGTTCGCTCGCCTGTACCATCTCATCAAGCGCAAACCAACCGTGAAACTTTGGTGGAGGATGTCTATCGACGCATTAAGAGAGAGAAGCAAGAACGCGAAGAATCAGAGAGAAGGCAACGTAGATACGATGATCTACGAGCTGCGATTCGAGAAGTTGATGGTGGCAATGAACAAGACCGCAAGAGAAAATCGAGTAGCGACAACCAAGCCGACACTTTCTGCGGAGCACTCGTATACGATGTCGATCAAGTTCGATTCGATAGTGAAGACGAGGAGAAGCTCATGCGATCAGAACACTCCGAGAGAAGCGAGGGCAATCAGTCGTGCTGCAGTCAGGGCTCGTCCAAGCGAGGCAGCCGTCGGTATCAGCGCCAAAGCCGTGAATCGTGCTCAGCTCGGTCTCAAACACTCGGTATGGAAAGACGTGACCTCGACGAGGATCTTTACGGCCACCTCCCAGGATCTGATCGAGCGTACCAATACTACGTTCATGGCAGGCGTTGGGTGGGCACAGGCTCAAGTTGATGAACCCCAGTGCGGCAGTCTTTGCTTACTGACTTCACTTCAACCCAGATGCACCACACAAGCTCAATACTGTGCTTCGAAGTACACAACACAAGGTCGCAGTCACCAGACACAGAGTCATCTTACTACATGTAGAAGAATCTTCTGCAAGGGACGCTTAGCTTAAACTTCATAAAGACATGTGTGCAGGTGCACTTCATATTAACGATTAAAAGCAAAAGGAGCGCGTCAGTTCCGCGTTGGTCTGCCCTTGCTCCTTCGTAGCTTGGCCAAGATATTGGGGCTGGTCTGGCTCACCGAAGCTGACACCATCGGGGCCATAAATGTTGCTGTTGTTGACATACGCCGCATCTCCGCCTTTGCCCTCCATACTGATCTTGGCAGCTCGAGTTATTTGACCCATCGGCTGTGCAACATCAGCTCGCTCCGGAGCCCAGTGCTGCGCCAAACACGAGGAAGAGTTGGAATCAATGGCCCGCGAGTCGTCATCGTAGCTAAGCTTGTGCTGATAGTCCATACCTGACGTCCGCGTCGACGCGCGCGAGTCTCCGCTTTCATTCAGCATAGCTCGGGCCTTGGCTTTCTTCGACTCGCTCTTCTTCAGCTTGCGCCGAAGACGCTCCTCCTCTGACGACGATAATGGCGAAGAAAGAGAGGAAGAGGAGAACACCGACGATGACGAATAGCTGCTTTCGTAGTTCCGTCGAGATTTCGGGTGCTTTCGCTTCGAGCGGCGCTTCTTCTCCTTCTCTCGCTTCTTGGCCTTTTCAGCTCGGCGATGCCGACGGCGGCGGCGGCGGCGTTCATCTTCTGAAGATGAAGAAGACAAATTTTCGCCCGGTTCACTGGTTGGGAACGTCAAGGTGACCGGGATATTCTCAGTCGGGTAGGTCTGGTTCTGGTTGTTTTCTTCGCTTCGGGAAGAAACGGAGCCCTGAATCGATTTCTTCGTGATGAAATTCTCCTCCGGCACCTTGACTCTCGAGGAACTCTTTTTCTTGCGATATCCCGCCGAAGACGCCGAGCTCGAATCCGAAGAATCCTCGCCACTGTAGTCTCGTCGCTTGGAGTGTTTTTTCGTTTTCTTGCTAACGTTACGACGCTTCTTGTTATTTTCGCGGTCTCTACGACGACGGCGGCGGATTTCGTGCTCCGACTCGGTCGAATCGGACGAGTCCGAGGTGGGCAACGCGTTGTGCACAACTTGGTCCAGGTCTTCCACCGACAATCGGATCGTTCCAAAACTCGTCAACTCGCGGCCAGGTCCATTGCCAGTGTCCACGCCGTAAATGGTATAACCCCTAGGAACCCCAAACTTGGTCTCAAGCGCATCCTTCTTCTCCAAATCCTCCCGCAAGTTTAATTCTTCCATCAACTTCGTCGCATCCTTCTCCTTTTCCTTCTTCACCCCTCGATACTTGAAACTCGGCGGCAGATCCGAATCCGAATCTTCGGCTTGAACATATCGTTGCTTCTCCTCCTTCTCCTCCTCCATCTTTCTCTTCTCACACTGCAGTCTCCACTTCTCCTCCCTCTCCATCTGCTCTTCAAGCCCCACCCGCTTCATCGCATCGTCCTCCAACTGCCTCCATCTTTCCTGTTGCTCGCGCTCCAACTCTCGTCGTTGGGCCTCCTCCAGCTCCCGATGCTGCTGCATCAGTCTCTGCACCATTTCTTCACTCGGCTGGGAGTACCGCCGCTTGGGCTCCGGAGTGAAATTGTTCTCCTGCAGACAGAGCTGCAGTCGGATCTGTCCGCTGGCCTTGTCGTTCTTGTAGAGGGGGACCCACTCGTCCACCGTCTGTCCAAGTTGAAGTTGCCGCAAGTGGACAACGCACGCGCCGATAGCCGGACTGTATAACAGAACGTGGTTCTTGACGCGGATCGTCAGCACTTCGGTGTTTGGGTCCTTCACGTTCATCTGGAACTTCTCGTTCCACTCGGGGCAGTCCCTCGCGGCGCTTGACTGGACTTTAGTATGGAACGTCTGGTGGCTGCTGCCGAGATTCTTCTTCTTCTTCTTGTCGTGGCCCCCCACGAGGGACTTGCCCTGGCCGAAGCCGCCGACCATGGGCGAGTCCCCCAGATACAGTTTGCAGTACGAGCTCTGGGCCACCGCCGGCAGCCCGCGCGCCGAGTGCACGCGCAGGTAGAGCGTGAAGTTGCCGAAGAGCGGGCGGATGGCCGACGTGCTGACTGGCCGCTGGTGGGAGCTATTGGGCGCCGATGACTGGTCGGACGAGGACCGGGCCATCGACGGCTTGAACCCCAGCGCCGTCGTGAACGCTCGGAAGCGAGACGTCGCTGGCGGAGCTGGCGCTGGCGGCGTGCGCTCGTTCCCCATGGGCAGATTGAAGAGTGACGACGTCTGTGTTGCTTCGAGCCCGTCGACCAAGGTACTGAACCCACAACAGAATAGGTTCAACTTTGCGGTAGAGGGACCTTTGTGCAGCGATATGCGCGGCGTTACTGCTGAGCGAGGGCTGCATGGAGCACTTCAAGGCTTCAAGCCTGCAGCTGCTGGATCGGCGCGGCGTCTTGCCCGGCAAGTTAGCAGCAAAACAATATTCACCACGATGGTCGGAACTCGAATAGATCGAGTTCCGACCATCGTGGTGAGTATTGTTCTTCCTGAAAAATGCATTGCGCCACTTCTAGCCATTCTTTTTATTGCATCGTACAGAACGGAACTCCATGCGCAACTATTATAGTCCCAACTCGCTTGAAGACAATGGAAGAATTGCTTTCAATAAAGAAAAGAGAAAATATTATACATGCAGATTCGATCAAGGACCTGCCGTTCTTCTTATTGCCGTATTTAGACACCAAAACAGGATGAATAGTGGTTAAACTTTTTTAAGTTAAATAAACTAAGCCCGTCGCGTGACTGTCGGGCATTCATCTTTGTAGAGTTTTCAACTCGCCGAGCAATATACCACCACTACACTGCAGTGTGACTAGTACACGTAGTACACATCTGCAGCTCTTCGTACACTTCCGTAGAATTTCACTGACCAACAGGACATCTTTTGCAAATTCATCCATGCATTCATTACTATTTTCTGGCTTAAAGTATCTGATCAAGGTAGCCTCCCTCTTTGGCCAACTCATAGAAGACCCCGCTTCCACCTTTCACCAAGTTGCGAGGGCTGTCGAACTCCACCACTTTCCCGTCGCTCAGCACCAGGATCCGATCCGAGTCGAGCACCGTGCCCAGTCGATGAGCGATCGTCAGTCCTGGAAATCCTTCTTGATCATCTCCTGCAGCTTCTTCTCGGTCGCGTGGTCGATGGACGCTGTGGCCTCGTCCATCACCACAATGCGGCTCCGGGTCAGCAGCGCGCGAGCCATGCACAGCATCTGCCGCTCCCCGACGCTGAAGTTCTCGCCGTTCTCGCTCAGCTCGTACGCCAACTGCCCCTCCAGAGCCGACACCTGCGTCTTCATGTCCACCTTCTCCAGCGCGCTCCAAATGTCGGCGTCCGTGAACTCGTCAAAAGGGTCCATGTACGCACGCAGCGAGCCCTTGAACAGAACAGGCGACTGCGGAATGATGGACAGGTGCGAGCGCAGTGTACGCAGCGGCATTGATGCAATGTCCACACCGTCAATAATAATTCTTCCAGACATAGTGAGGCTGGACTTGCCTGCACCAGTACGCCCGACAATGCCGATCTTCTCGTTGTTGCGGATGTCAAAGGTCAAACCCTTGAGCACGGGGCTCCCGCCCTGCTTGTAGCTGAAGACCACATCCTGGAACTGGACGGTGGACGAACGAGGCCATGAAGCATCAGGCTCAATGACAAGCGGTCGCTTGCTTCCTTCAGCTGGGATCGACCCGTACTCGAGAATGCGCTCGGGGCTGACCATTTGGATCTCGACCCAGGACCACGACTGCACCAGATCAGCGAGACCAGTGTCGACGCTGAGCGCGTACGTGAAGGCAAGTCCAACGATACCAGGAGACAGGAAGTCGCGCAGATACACCAATCCAGACACCACGAGAACAATCACAGCGCTGCCTAGAAGCTGCATGCGAAGACCAAACCACTGCTGCGTGACGGTGTCTGCCAGCCAGCACCTGCTGTTCAGGTCGTTGCGGATGAAGTTCTCGGTGATCATTCGATCGATGGTGTCTCGACCGAAAGCGCGAATAACCACGACCCCTTCCTCTGACTGGCTCACGTGGCTGAGCACCGGAGAAGACGACACTTTCCACAAGCGTGACAGTTCTCGAGACGGAGCGAGGTAGAAGTTGGCGATCTTCACGTACATCCACACGAGAGGGATGATCAAAGCACCGAGGAAGTTCATCGTATACACAGCCGTCGCAAGTTGACACACTGTGAAGAAGAACATGGCGAGGAAACCTCCAAACGCAGGAGGGATCATGGAATCCACAGCCGCCATGTCGTCGCCGTACCGGTTCACAATGCGGCCAATGGGGTTGGCGTCGAAGAAGCGGAGCGGGGCCCTCAATAGCGATTGAGTCATGTTGTCAAACAAGTGGCGAGACGCCCGGAGACCAACAATCGCCACGGTTGTGGAGCGGACGAACACCATGACAGCAGCACCGGCCCCAAGCAACGAGTAGACCTTCATGTTGTACGCTGTCTCGTCTTGGTTGTACGAGCCGTTCTTCTGTCCGGTCCAGCGGCTCAGCCACAAGTCACTTCCGATCTGGAAAGCCTGCCACAGCGTCTGCACCGCAAAGAGGAAGACGCAGACCTTGACACCGCCGAGCGAGTTGAAATAGTTGGAGAACACCTCCTTGGACACGCGACCTTCTTCACGTTCTTCATCGTTAACCAGCCGACCCGCATCCTTGTCCTTGTTGTTGTTGTTGCCTTTTTCATCGTCGTCCTTTGTCGAGCGAGGAGACACTGGTAGCGTGTAGGAGCAGCGTGGTAACGCAACTTCATGTCGAGTAGCAGTCAACTTGCCGCTTTCCACCAGCACCTTCACGTTCGCAGCTTTGCTCGCAATGATGTCGGCGCCGTGGGTCACCAGGATCACAGTCTTGTCCGCGAGCAAGTTACAGATGCAGTCGCCAAAGATCTGACTCTGCACGATGGCGTCGACAGCAGCGAGAGGCGAGTCAAGTAGCAGAGTATCGGCGTCCGAGTAGCATGCTCGAGCGAGGCAGACACGAGCCTTCTGTCCCCCTGAAAGGTTGACTCCCTTTTGACCAATCTCCGTTTCGTCACCTCCTGGGAACTGCTTCAGGTCCGGCACTAAACCACAGGCCGCGATCACGCGCGCGTACTTCTCCTTGTCGTACGGCAGTCCGAAGAGGATATTGTCACGGATGGTCATGTTCTGAATCCACGTCTGTTGTGAGTAGTAGGCGACGCTGCCTCGGACGAACACTTTACCGCCCAATTTGTTCATCTCTCCCAGTATCGCGGAGCACAGCGAGGACTTGCCGCTGCCAACCGATCCGTGCACAATGACCAGGTCACCTCGCTTCACAGTGAGCTTCACGTCGGTTAGTAGCGCTGTCTCGTCCGTCCAGCCAAAGGAGCCGTCTTCGATAGCCAAGGCGACATCTTGTGGCTGCGCAGGGTCATCACGTGTGACGTTGTTCGGGTCGAACTCATCCAAAGCGAGGTAGTCCGTGAATCGGTCGATGGAGATCTTGGCCTGGATGCAAGCTTGGATGGCGGTGGGCAAGTCTCTCAGCGGGTCACGGATGGCGTTAAACAGAGCGATGGCAGTGAAAACTTTCGCAGCAGTCAGCGCCTTCTCCATCACAAGCGCGTACACGGCGAACGACACGGCCGAGACCACCAACGGAGAGCCCCACAGCACGAAAATGTTGAGCGCATTAAGGTACACGTACTTCTTGATAGCGGAGAGCTCCGTGGCGCGCAACTTGTGGATTTTGTCTGCGAATTTGTCCTCCCACGCGTTCAATTTCACGATCTGAATGGCGCTGAAGACCTCCTTGATGGTCTTCATGCGGTTGTCCTTGTGCTGCATGACCCCTTCGAACGTGTCGCCGGAGAGTTTGGCGATGATAGAGCCCGCTACGATCGAGGCGACGATGACCCCCAGTCCGGCAAAGGCAGCGACGCCGATGACTTCGTACAGCATGAAGACCACAACCACGATCTGGATGGGGGTGATCCACACGCTGTAGCTCATGAACGCCGCCCAGAGCACGTTGTCCACGTCCGACGAGAAGAGGTTGGAGATGTCCACGGCGTTGGAGTCGCCTTTGCTCTGGATGCTGCGACGCATGGCCTTCCTGAAGAGCAGCCCCTTGAGCGACACCGTCAGGCGGAGCGCGATCAACTCGATGTGGAACTGCACGTGGGGCAGCATGATGGCGTTCACAAGACGTGAGGCGAAGAACACGCCGAGCCACAGGCCCAAGTCGTACATGTCGATCGTCGCGGCCGCGAATGCAGTCACGACGTGGTTCAGAACCGCAGGAGCGAAGACGCTGCACGCGGTGGAGAAGAGCGTCGCCAGAGCGCATAGCAGGAAGGGGCCCCCGTACGTGGTGGCCATGGCCTTGATGATGGACTTGTCATGGCTCTCGTAGTGCCTCACGAACTCGTCGAACACCGTAGCTGACTGGTTGTCGCGGTCGAGCTCCCACAGGTCGTCGTTGTCGAGCTGGCGCGTGTTGCCCGTGCTCATCATGGGGTTGGCGAACGAGAACAAGACGCGCGACCACAAGGACGCAGAGCCTGGGGTGATAACGTTAGTTGACGTTGTTGCATGGTGCAGCTGATGCTTGGTCTCTTCTACTTGGTCGTTGACGCTGGTGAACGTTGAGTGAGTACCGCGGCTGCTTGGTCTCTTGAGCGGGGGAGATGAGATAATTCGAGAGTGGGTGGCTGCAGTCAGGGATACAGTAAAGCGCTGGCTGCCATGCTGCAGCAGTGGATGTATAACCCACTGCCACGTAAGCTTAGCGGTCAGCTGGTCGTCTCCGCCTTGACTGAGTCTTGAACGATTTCGTACATGTATACACCGTAGCGTGATCATTGTTGTGTCGAAGCATGAGCAAGACTCTCGACAAGAGTTGCTGTAGTAATGCTGTGGCTATTGAAAGTGAGTCAACAACAACAACAAGTCGCTGTTTATTTTTTGCCGTTTCCAGTGGGGGTGAAATGGGCAGCACTTGGAGTTCCGGCAGCTTCTTGCTCCCCCACTCGCGGTCGGCGTTGACCTCCCAGCTCCAAATCAAAGACGTGTTGGCTCTGTGTGAGGATGGCGACCTGCTTCTTACGCGTGAAAAACTCGCCGACTCGGCGTTGCGTGTGGGGGTGGAGTTTGTCGTGGCTCGGGACATTCAACGCATGCAGCGCGGGCAGTTTCCGTCTCAGCGCGTGACGTCCTTGCCCCGTACGTTGCGTTACGTATCTTCGGTCTGGTGCTGGCTCATTGAGGCTAACTCGCTCTGCTCGCCCATCAGCGTGGACCAGGTGACTTCAACTCCGTGTCAACCAACGGTGGTGAAACTCTGACGCATGTTGCTCTCTTTCGATGCTAGCTGCGAGCTGCTGCTGCGCCACGAAGGAGCTTTGCGCGTCGTCGCGGTCAACGCAAACGGGTTGGAGCTCGTCCCATTCGAAGAGCGAGTTGCGAGCAAACTACCTCACATCCACGATCGTGTAAGTCCACTACAAGGAAATCATTATTCTATGCCGGGTTTGGTGCTAATCGGTACCTTGCAGTACGCAATTCGCCGTCTCCGATATGACGCGCGTAGTGAGAGTCTTTCCTCGGCGCTGCGAGATTTGGCGCTGCAGATTGCATCGGTAGCCCCGATTTCATGGCACTCGCTGTTGTTCCCTGACGCGGCGGTGAAAATTTCTCCAAGATCCCCAAGGTCTCCACGGCAGCAGCCAGTAGATCATAACGCAGTCGTAAATGCTCTGAAGGTGCTACCACCGCTGCTGCGGCAATTGCTACGACGGACGTTAGAGGTACGGTTTTCCTTTCATTAAGTAGGACGGTTATTCATTAGGCTAAGCGTTCAAATGATAGCTCTTGTGCCAGAAATTGAAGCGCGAGTCGCCGCTGTCTGACGCCCAACCAACAGAGCACAACAACCTGGATGCGTCAAAACCAGAGAACCAAGCTACTGCTGCTGAGTTTCGCATTGCCTTCGAAACTCTAGGGGTCGCCGAATTCACCTCTCGCCTAAGCGCTGCATTTGTAGCTGCAGTGTACGAGCACGTTCAGCTCCTGGACCCGATCACTTGTGGTACTAGGAATGAGCCTCTCGCCCCTGCGGCCTTTTGGTCAGCCAGCAACGACAGTGTGCGCATCGCCCTCAATCCTCCTACTGCTCTGGGGCTTGAGATGGCTCTCACCCGACCAAATTGAAGCGTTCAAGTGGACAACACGGATTCATTAGCAAAACGAGTGGCTGGAGACGCCAGCGACAGGTAGAGGACTCGGCGTGTGAGTCTAAAAACGACATAAATATTCAAATACTCATTCGACGATATGCTAAACTACCAAGACGGCCGGATCTGATGGCGAACTTGCTGACGTCCTTCAGAATTACATGGTTACCTCATAACAAGACTTAGTTCAAACGAAAATGAGATGTATAGTAGCAACATTTATACGAAAATGTGAAACTAAACCAAAGATTAACCTTGCACTACGATGGTTGGTTTGGGTGTCATGACTCAAGCTATGCAGTCCTCATACGTTTTACTCCACTATTACGTGGAAGAAGGTCGACACGCCGATCCCAGGTCCAATTGCTGGCGAAATGAACCTGCTCGTAGTAGCCCACGTACACTTCATCTGGACACGCGCTTAGCGCCGCTCCGACTTCGGGAGATGGTGTCAACACAAACTCCTCACACGCTGCTAGGCTCGAACACACAGCGATGTAAATCGGTGGATCGTGAACTCCGGCTTGCTTGACATTATCTGGGAAGAAAATCGAGTTCAGGCTCTTCAGTCGAGTTTTGCTGATCGTGTGGTTCTGGCCGTCAACAATTTGCAGGTACGCCACGTTGCTCTTCTTCTTCTTCTCTGGTATAGATTGGATTTTGGAAATGCCGTCGATGTTGGGGAAGTCGTCGCAATCAGGGACCCAGTACGACGTGAATGGATTATCCTTTCACTCCCTCAGACTGCTTTCGTAGTCGATTGCTGTGCCCGAACGCACCGCTACCCCTTTTCGCAAGGACAACCGCTTCATATCCAGGTGAGGCTGATCGTCTGTTCTAGCTATCGGCGGGTCATACTTGGATATGCGAAGTCTAAGTCGATTCTCGGCAGCGAGGCTTTGAATATAAAGTCTAAGAGCGCTTGCAGCTAGTGATGCGTACTCGTATCCAGCTCCTTGTGCCCAGGTGTAGATTCGATGCAGGTCGTCTGAATTCAGCCTCCAGCAAAGATTACGGAGCGCATATTCCGAGTCGATGACTTGCTCCCAATACCGTGAACTGGTGAATTGAGATATATCCCTTGCAAATGTGCGGCGTAGATGACCATATTGTGATTTTCCAGACAAAATCGAACCCTCGGGAAATACGAGCGGTGGCAACTTCAGCGGCCTACCGATACCGGTAACGTTTTCGATGCGACGGCGTATATCGTCTGGTGAAGTCACGCACTTTGCCACCAAAGTAGTAAAATCTAATCTCCATTTCGTCCGGTTCAATACCGTGTATCAACTTGCCAACGAAAAGATACCCCTCTTTGACCAGCTAGGCAGCAGACAGCAATACGTACAACTGCCTCTTGCGACGTGAGGGGCTAAGCAAAATACAATACGATATTGATTGGACTCTTCAACGTTCCGCAATTAATAATTGGGTTATTTTCTAATTTTTCCCCACTAATGTAGCCACAAACTCAAGTGTAGTTAAAAAGAGTTAAACACAAAGGCGAGAAGAACAGAAGTGTCTAACTCATGTGGATAGTTTACTTCGGTTACCCATGATCGTACACCATATGAAACAATTGGCGGGAACCCGGGTACCCATCGGGACCCCGGTTTCCCCAAAACTACCGGTACCCATGTATGATCAAATGTATTGGAGTGTTGTTCTATGACCTACGTTGAACGTAGCTTAAGCTCGGTAGAGAAACGGAAGGTGAATTCGTCTTTGCTCCCGTCCTGTGTCTCTCATGAAAATCCAGACTCTTGCCTGGTACAGCGGTAGAGGGCTTTCCGGCCACATTGCTAACCTCCTGCTCACGTAAGGTGGACTTTGACATGGTAAGGTACGTTATTCAGGTCTACTCAGTACCGGTGGCACATTAGTTGGAACTCTTTCATCGAGTTTGATGGTTTAACTTGCCCCAACGGTACCAATATGGTGGCCGAAATTTTAAATAAATAAATCGCGATTTGGTCGGTATCATTTGCGGGTTCCCGCCTATGGTTTCATATGCTACGCTAACCAAAGCATGCCTTAGATTCCATGCACCTGTAATTCGATACAAACCTCACAAGGGTTCGAAGTTTTTGTTTTAGTATAACGCATTCTAGTACAATTGAGCTCTATTTCTGTAAGATTTTCACAGCAAAAGTAAGTTGCAACGGCTTCTTATTAGTATTTTTAAACTCATCTTGCACACGGCGACGGTAATTGGTGTGCAGCACACCAATTACCGTCGAATTCATGGGGAAGTGATCATACCAAGCACAAGTTGTATAGATTTCTGACTTCCTAGTTCTTATTCCACGAAATTGGTGACGGGGTATCAGTAAGTTATTCCCGTAAGTTACTGCGAGTTATTCTTACGGATATTGGTATTTACCGAGCCCTGGCTCCACGTGCTGCGACGTCGCTAGCATGTCAAACGTCTCCAAACTCCCAGGGATTTCATTGTAAGAAAACCCATCGAACAAGACCCAGATATTCTTCACGCCTATTTGACCTATGAGCGCTTCGTAGATTCTGCTCACTCGAGACTCGGTCGGCAGCGGGATCGAAAAGTAGGCCACTCGGCCATCATCGTGCGTCAGGTAGAGCAGGCAAACACATAGTCCTAGCCCAAAAACCTTCGAAACAACAGCACATTCTTCTTGCGCTTGAGCACGAGGTAGAAAGCCATCACACACAACAAAGTCGACTTGCCGATTCCCGGAGACCCAAAGACAATACCCCTCTTGTTCTCAAGAGCGTTAGTATTGCCAGCAGTGGACTTCCGAAACCACCCATCCGTGATCAGCGACACGACCTGCTTGTCTTCCAAGCGCCAAAAGATCTTCCCCGTGTCGGTGCATCCGCCCAACTCGCTCATAAATTTCGAGATGGTTGGAACCCCAATCTTCTAATGAGCTGCATTCCGCATCAAACTTCTCCTGGTCTCAAAGGCGTTGTGAAAGGTATCACTGGGTCCCCCTTCGGCACTTCCACGATAAGCGCATCCTTCACTGAACCACACTTTTCGCGCCATTGCTTCCTCTGTACTCGAGTCGTGGAGCGCATTTTGGTGGAATGTGACCACATCACTCACCAATCAAGTCCTGAAAGGTGTCAACGACGTCCTCATCTTCAATACACTGTTTTCTGCTGGTTGTACTACGACACACATAAATGTTTGCCCTCTATGCGGGGGTAACAGTTTATAAGGACGAAAATGGAGCTCGAAGTGAAGGTGGAGGCGCCAGCTGGGACTCGGTGTAGCCTGAGCGCCGATGCCTTTGCGTCGCGTGTGGATGGACCTGCGTATCGTGAAGATAGCGCACTGTTCGCTGACAATGCGGTGGCGTCCGAATCCCCCCACGGCGCGCAGGATCTCACGACGAAGGTGGTGTTCCTCACTGTGAACGACGTCTACGAGCTGTTCCCGGACGCCAATGGCGTTGGGGGCGTTGCCGAACTCGCTACAATGCTGAAAGTCACAAGGCAAAAGATTGATCGCGATACTCACGTGATCGTCACACTGAATGGGGACTTCCTGTGGAGGTCGGAGCTGGATCGGAAGGACAAAGGGTGCGTCACAGTTATCTCCAGTGCGAGCTTGGAAGAGTATTAACCTTTGCAGTGTTGATACTCTCCTGCAGAGCTGTTATGGTCGAGTTGCTGAACAAAGTCGGTATCGAGTACGTGGTGCTGGGCAACCACGAGTTCGATTTTGGCGCCGAACACATGCGCGAGTTGCTCGCCGGCGCTAATTTCAAGTGCTTCGGGTCGAATGCTAGGACTGCTGCCAGTGGCGAGTTGTATCCGGGTCTCGTGGATACGTGGGTGGTTCCGTTGAGCAATGGGCTTCGGCTGGGTCTGTTTGGGGTTCTGACGACTGTCACTGGGAAGGACCCATTTGCTGGACCCAGCGTTGTTTTTGAAGACGAGAGACCTCACGCGCGTCGCTGTGTTGAGGAACTGAAGGCGCAGGGAGCAGACGTCATCGTGGCGCTGACCCATTTCAAGGTTGCGGACGATGTGCGACTTGCCATGCAGGTGCCGGGTATCAATCTCATCCTGGGAGGCCACGATCACTTTCCAGTGACCTGCGCTTCTGGCGTCGACACGCTGATTCACAAGTCAGGCATGGATGCTCTTTGGCTGGGGGCCGTGGAGATGACGTTGACCACACCGAAGATATCTCGCCAGGTTCAGACCCACAAGTCTGAGGTCCGAGTGGGTTTCCAGTGGCAAATGCTTTTGAATCGTGGATATCAAGCCGATCCAGAATGCCTCGCGCTTCTGAACAAGTACGTAATGGACGTTGAGCGGGAGGAGCTAGCGCAAGGAAAACTAACACCACTGGCGACGGCAGGCACAGCGTTGGATGGACGACGCGTCACGTGCCGCACGCAAGAGAGCAACATGGGCAACCTCGTAGCAGACTCTCTGCGTGAAGGACTGGGAGCTGATATCGGGCTTGTGAACGCAGGCTACATTAAAGGAGACAAGCTGAACGAGCCTGGACTTGCCATTACGCGCAAGTGGCTTGAGAAATATCTTCCCCTAGTGAAGCCTACTGTGGTTGTGGAGTTATCTATTCGCGAACTGAAGGACGCGCTTGCCTACTGGTTGCGCCGATACCCTGCGATGAGCTCGTCGCAGCCACATTTCTCTGGTCTCCGTGTTGTATATGACAGCACAGACACCACGAAACCTACGATAACCTCGATTCGACTGGCGAAGGAAAACTATGAAGTTGCTGCAGAATATTCGCAAGGCGAAGGCACCGGCGAACAAGCGGATACACCCACGGATCGCTTGGTATCCGTCGCGATGCCCTTGCTGAGTAGCATGGATGGGTGGCATTTCTTCGCAAGCGCTCGCCATTTGAGATCGGGTCCTCTTGTGCGTGACCTGGTTGAAAAGTTTGTCATCCAGAGACCGCAGATTGATTATCCAGCGAAAGAAGGTCGTCTTCGCCTCCTCGAGTCGATTCAGGCCAAGCCAAGCTTCCCCAAACCATCCGCATTGTAACGCTGCTGGCTTCTCATCTCCTATTGTAAAGCTTAGTTTCAGTAGCGATGGCAACGATAACATGTGTCCGTCACCCGGTAAATTGAACACCATTTCGTGATTTCACCGTCCACAGAGAGTGACGGCACTCCTAGCTAGAAACGAAACTCTATCCCTGATGCTTGAGCGTAGCTGCCATGTTATCATGCTGCAGCCTGCAGCCTATCCGCGAGCATTTTCACAAAGCGGTGCTCCTTTCCCTGAGTAATCTGGAGAATACGCCTCGCCTCGGTCAGGTATTCGGACGACTTCGCCTTGCTGTTCTCAGGGCCGGTTCCTACCTGGGCCAGCTGAGCATACAGATCGCCGAGGGTGAACAAGTGGAGCCCCGTCATCGGGTGGTTGGCGTTGTATACGCGTTGGTAGAACTCCAGCATTTTCTCCCCGTAAACAACCGCTTCCTCTACGCTGCCACGCTCCATTTCCGCACTAAAGATCGTAGCCAGCGTCTGCAACCGCGCAATGCTGTCGCGGTGGAGAATGTTGCTCTGGCGCTCGGCCAACTTCTGCAGTGCGTCGATGCATTGCTGCTGCTGGTCCGCAAGGTCAGTACTGACAGAAGCAACATCGGTGGCGTCGCTGACTTCCTTGAGCGCACGCTCCACCTCGTCCTTACGCTCCTGAGACCACTGCTCCTTAGGGACGCCGTCGATATCAGCATCGAGGAAAGCATCCAGGCTGCCAGACTCCTGCAGAGGCACCGAGCAGCGACTGCAGGCACAGTTGAAGTGGTACTTGCGCTGCAGCCGCTCGTGTCTCTCACGGCGAGGCAGCGCGACATCGACTGCAACAAAGCCTACGTCAGAAAAAAAACAGCAGCGCACTTTACGTTCAAGCAGCCGCACCGTAGGTCTGTGTGATCTCCTCGCCAGCCTTGATGGGCCTCATGGCCCGGAACTCCATTTCGAGAGTCTTGGGGACAAACCTGCGGCAAACAAATCCATCGACAGCGTAAGCAAACCAACTGTAACAGATAATCAAAATACGCCGCCATCCCACTTACGTGATGGCACAGTTCGGGTCGCAGCTGTGGTTGATCATCGCGCCCAGCGGGAAGCAGCCTGCGCCCTGCTCCAGCAGCAGCTCGTCGCAGATGGAGAAGTTGTTGTTGCGGAAGCGGCTCAGCATGCGCAGCATCTCGTCCATCGAGTACGAGCCTGCCCCAAAAATCAAACAAAACAACCCCATCAGCCCTCCAAAATACCACACAACCCCCTCTCCTCTGCCTCCTCACCATCCACCAACTCCAGCTTCTGCGCCAGCGCCGCGAGCAGCATGAGCTCCTGGTCCTCCATGTCCTCCTCGTACCACACGAGCTCCTTGGGCTGCAGCCCTTCTGCGTCCTCGCGCCTCAGCACGCGGCCGAGCAGCAGCACGTCCGCGGTCTGGTCGTTCCTGAGCCCGAGCTGCGCCAGCTGCGCCAGGACCTTGCACTCCTTGCGGTGGTCGGGCTTCCAGTCCGCCTGCTGGCACGCCTTGGAGCCTGCAGCAGCGCAACGGCGTCAGCACCCGATACATTTAGCCAATCAAACAGCAGCGCACTCGGGACGCACAGTAGAAGGCCGTGTTGCAGCGCCCGCAGCGGCTCAGGCGCGTGCCCGAGGCGAAGCACTTGTGGCAGTGCGAGTCCCAGAGCGCCGGCAGCAGCACGGTGGCGAGCGCCGGGGCACGCAGCGCCAGGTCGCCGGCGGCCAGAGCCGTCTCGGTCTCGACGCGCCGCCCGCGGTCCCCCGAGACGTCCTCCGGGGCGTCCACCGCGCCGACGGTGCGCATCTTGGTGGCCAGTGTTGCAATGGTGAACATCTTTTGGTGTCGCGCGAACACGAGCGACCTTCGCGCGACATTTCGACAGAAAAGCCCGGCGCCCTGCTCTCGCACTTAAGGCGGGCGATACAAAACGCCAGTCTAATCCCGTAAAACGCGAGGGCCGTCCGCGTTCGCCCTATTCTTATTTCCCCCCGAGCGAGTGACCATCACTCTTGTTCTCCATTCTCGCGGGGTGGAAGGAAGAGCCTCGACAGCCCCAGCAACAGTCGCCCGACGGCTCTCGTCGGCCTGCGACCTGCGGCCCGCGGACTGCGCCGCGCCCCGGAAAACTATCATCTGCGCGGCCCTATCTCCGTCCCAGGCGACTCCCGCGTGTCGAACTGCCCTCTGGCCGCCGCTAACCCGAGGTAAGAATCTGGTAAATTACCGAGGGGGGCGCCTCCGTCGCAGCGCTCCCGAAGCTCCGGAGCGCCCCAGGACCCTCGGAGCAGGCCACGAAGCCCGAATAAGCCCCGGTGGGCTCTTTTGACGGCTTCTCGGGGCCATTTCCGAGCTCCGGAAGGGACTCGACTTGCGGGTCAAAGTAAATTACCGTGATGGCGGTAATTTATTTTTTGACACGGTTCCTGGCGGCCTGCAGAGCCTCCGAGCAGAGAAGATATGTTACTGAGTGTGTGCATGAACTAACTGGCGCGGTTGTGTTTGTGGATTGTTGCTGGTGTTGCAGGAATTCGCTCTAGAGCTGAGGACTCGGAGGCGGTCGGGTATCTACGGCTTTTAGGGGACTTTGGAGCTTGGAAACAGCTAGAAAACCTTCGGTGGAGCAAGGCAATCGTCGCTGCTGAAGGAGAGCGTGCTGCAGCTGCCGGGAGCAGACTCGCGAGACGGTGTAACTAGCCCATGTCCGTTCCCCAGCAATCTATGCCCCCTGTTTCTCAGTATGCACCAAAGCCGACAGTAGCTGGTCATTCTGAATCCACTACGACTACACCAGCGAGCAGCGTACGTTGCATCGTTGCGTGTTGCAACTGTCCTGACATGCAAAGGATTGGAGACCTAACGACGGTGTTCGGATGCGTGTCTGCGACGTGTGTGGATTGTGGATCTTGTTGGTATTTTGCAGGCAATGAACCCAAGCACCTCAGGAGCTCCAGTTTCTACAGCAGCATCTACACCCAGTTCAAGCGCTGCCATGACCGCAACAAACGCGAGTACCGCTGCCACCCCGACTGCGACGAATCCAGCAGTTCCTGCAGTAGCAACATCAGCAGCAGCACCAACGCCAACTGCAGCTGCTGCTGCAGCAGCAGGAGGAGGTATTGTGGGTGCAACCGTTGGAGCGACAGCAGATTGGAGGGATAAAGATGCCGATCGAGGCGCAAGACAGCAAATTGCACGGATCATGTGCGTACTTGAAGGGGTTTATTCTGGTTGGGTGATATGATTGACTGAACGTGCCGAGCTGGTTGTGATCGTGTACAGCTTGACATTGATAATGAAGAGTGCGAACAGACCGACATCCGCGAATTATAACCCGCGAGAAATTGCAAGGCGGCTGGAGCACACGTTGTATATGGGAGCACCTTCAAAACAAGAGTACAGCAATGTCCAAACTCTGAAGGCGCGACTTCAACAAGCATTGGATAACTCGAGGCGGCGGCAAATGCAGCAGCAACAGGCAAGGTTACAACAGCAACAGCTCCAATCGCCAGGTGCATCTGCAGATGCTGTTCAGCAACAAACTCAAGCTCAGTTGCTTCAGCAGCGGCAAATGGCGCTACTTCAGAGACAGCAGCAGCAACAAATGGCCGCAGCGCTGCACAACCAACGAGCTAATTTCCAAGCTGTGCCGTTCCCTGGAGCGTCAGCGCCGATGAGCCAGGCCTCCGTTAACCAGCCACTCCAGATGCCCGTGAGCATGTCACAAATGGCAGTGAAGACACCTGGATCTATCGCGACTGCAAGTACGACTCCAGGTACCGTGACTTCATCCACCAACAATGGAGCTGCATGTGCTTCGATTTTGGACGAGCTGGAACGTGAAGCAGATGAAATGGCGAACGGTGTGAACGACCAGCCACTTTCAATGCCCGAGTCTGAACTCAAGGCTGTGACAACTCCGACTGGTGCACTGAATGCTGCGAATGGCAACAACTTCGTGAATGTTACGCCCACAGTGGCTTCGCCAACTGTAGTTGGAAGCGTCGACGCGGGTGCGTTTAACGCAGTTCCGCTGAGTATGCCTCCCGAGATCAGTGCCAGTATGGCCTCTCCTGCAGCGGGGCCATCTGCGGCGTTGGCGCAACCAACTCCTGCGATGGTTAGTGCCGCTCCAACGACTTCTACTGCCGCTGCAACTAATATGTATCACGGCATGAATCTAACGGGGCCGCAAATCCAGCAGATTCAGCAGATTCAGCAAATGCAGCAGCTCAGGCGGATGCAGCAGCTTCAACAGCTCCAGCAACAGCAATTGAACGGAAAAGTTAGCGCTGCTCAGCTACAGGCTAGTGCGACTGTGCCGACCAGCGGTACTTCGACGACACCAACATCTGCAGCAGCTACGGGAAATGGAGTCACGCCTGGGATGATTCAGATGAACGAAGTGTCAATTGCTCAGAAGCGAGAAGAACTCAAGCGACGACTGATCCAGTTGAAGCACGCTCGAACTTGTACAACTGGGGAATGCACGATCGACTACTGCAGTCGCACGAAGGCGTTGCTGTCACATGTGTCACGATGCGCGAACGCTCAGTGCACAACGCTCGGATGCAAATCGACCCGACAATTGCTTTCTCACTTTCGCAAATGCCGGAATCTGCAGTGCGATGTCTGCAGTGCTATTCGCCCCCCGATGAATGAGAACGAGCAGCAACTGGTACTTCGACGACAGCAGGAGCGGCTTTGTATGCTACGCCATGCCAGTACTTGCACAGCCCAACAGTGCATCCTTCCGTACTGTGCAGGAATGAAAGTACTGTGGAAACACATTTGCGAGTGTCACCAGCGGCAGTGCCGAACGGATCACTGTATTTCTTCACGCTACGTACTTTCGCATTTCAAGCAATGCAACAAGATGATCTGTGAAGTGTGTGGGCCTGTGCGGAAAGCTATCAAGGTGGTTGACTCTTGCCGGGGAAATCCTGCTCAACTTCAACTGGCGGCAAGTCAGTGCCCGGATGCTGTGCGGGGCCTAATCAAGATCATGAATACTACCACTGCTGCGGTTCCTGCAGGTGTCTCTGCATCGGGCTCTGCGAAGCCAGGAACCGGGGCCGGAGCGGCTGGAGGCTCACAGCAAGCGAATGTGAAGACTGAAGGGGCAACTCTAGCAGCAAGCGGTGCGGCTAATCAACCCTCCAAGTCGACTGCGAGCGCGGCTAACTCGGCAAATGTGAAGGTGGAGTCAAGTCTGCTGGAAGAGATGAAAAAGAAGCCTTTGAAACTTCAAACTGAGAAAGAGAAAAAGTTGCGCCGGAAAGAGCAAGCAAAAATTGCGAAAGCCCGGGCCCAAGCCAAGGCGGCAGCAGCGGCGGCTGCTGCTCTTACGGGACCCGTCAGCGCCTTGGGAACATCAGGAACATCGCAGCCCGTTATGCACAACGGTCTTGTGGTTCGTGGAACTCAAGCGGAGCTGCGCGACGATCATCATGTTTCGCACCAAGATATTTCTTTCTTGGACTCGATGACGGAAGGTCAACTAGATGAACACATCCGATCGCTGAGATTCAATTTCTGCGGACATATTACGGTGGCAGAGCTGAAGACCCGGCTGATGCCTTTGCTTACCAAGCTCATGGACAGTGAATATGGCTGGACATTCAACAACCCGGTGGATCCTGTGCAGTGGAATATCCCGGATTACTTCGATATTATTAAGTGCCCGATGGATCTCGGCACTATCAAGAAGCGTCTGGAAGCTGAGCACTACAACAGCGTGGAAGCTTTTGCGGGAGACGTACGGTTGGTCTTCGAGAACTGCATTGCTTACAATAGCAGCACGAACAAGTTCAACATTGCAGCAAAGCAGCTGCTTGCTTCGTTCAACAAGTCGTTGGCATCGCTTAAGAATCAGCTAGAGAAACAGCTTTTCAAACGCTGCGAGCAGCGTCGCGAAGAGATGTGCCAGCTGTGCGGTGGAGACTCGTTTAAGTTTGCCCCATGCATGCTGTTCTGTAGCGGGCCGTGTGCTGGTCGCATCCGAAGACATACGCACTACTACAGTGATCCTCGCGGAGAACACCATTGGTGCTCAAGTTGCTACAAGCAGATGAAGGATGGCCCGATCGACATGTCGCTCTTGCCCCAATTGTCAAGTGCGGCTACAGAGGTGGCACCTCCTCCAGCTGCTGGTGCAATCCCGTTTGATGGGGTGCTGAAGAAGTCGTCATTGGTAAAGCGGAAGAACAGCGAGGTCGCCGAAGAACCGTGGGTGGAGTGTGACTCGTGCAAATTGTGGTATCATCAAATTTGCGCATTGTTCAACGAACGTAACCACGCGATCTCTGGCGAACAAGAACCCTTTGTGTGCCCCATTTGTGTCAAGAAGCAACGTGCTGCTGGAGTAAAACCGTCGTTAGACAATGGTCTTAAGGCCAAGCGGCTTCCTATCACACGAATGGCGAAGCTGATCGAAACTCGCGTTCTCGAGGCTATCGAAAAGGCCGGCAAGGATGAAGCTGTGCGCATGGGCAACATGGGCAACTCGGATAGTATCGGATTTTCTAACGGTGTCAAGGAATCGACGTCCGACACACAGTTTGGAATCACCATTCGGGAGGTCCTCAGTATCGATAAGCAAGTCCAGGTAAAGCCAAGGATGGGCAAACTACTGGCAGCGAAGTATGGGAAGACCAAAAAGTCTGAAAACGGTGGTGCCGGTGGTACGACTGGGCAATCAAAGTCGCTGAAACGCCCGCGGTCGACGATGTCTGCCGCCGACAAGAAGACTGCTGCTGCTGATGCAGCTTCGTCGTCTTTATCGCTGCAGCTGACGTATCGCTCGCGGTGCATTTGCGTTTTCCAAGAGCTGGATGGCGTAGATGTTCTTATCTTTACGCTATACGTTCAAGAATACGGCCCTGACTCTTTGTCGCCTAATGCTGGCCGTGTGTACGTGTCGTACTTGGACTCGGTAAATTATTTCCAGCCGAAGAAGCTACGCACGTTGATGCACCAGCAGGTGATGTTGGGCTTTCTGGAGGACTGCAAGAATCGTGGCTTTCACACTTGCCATATCTGGTCTTGCCCACCGCTGAAGGGTGATGACTACATTTTCTTCTGCAAACCGGAGAACCAGAAAATCCCGAAGTCAGCGCGGCTGCGTCAGTGGTATCAAAAGTTGCTCGTGGAAGCCAAACAGGATGGTCTCGTTGTCAATATCTCCAACTTGTACGCTGAGTACTACATGAAGAAGAAAGCAGCCCACGAACTGCCCTACTTTGAAGGAGACTACTGGCCTCGGCTCGCAGAGGATCTCATCAAGCAGCTGGAAGAAAAAGATAACGGCAATCGAGCGAAAACTGGCGCCGCTGGTGCCGGAGATGCTACTGTTGGCAATGGGGCTAGCGCCAGTGGTGCAAGTACACCAGCCAATGGTTCTGCAACGCCGATTTCCCGGTCTCCGTCTCCAAGTGAGGCCAGCAATGAAAATAGCGGTGCGACTGATGGTGCAGCTGATGCCAAGACTTCTGTATCGAAGAAAGGAGCGATGACACCCAATGCGAACTCAAAAAGCAAGAGCAAGCGTAGTAAGGGTTCATTCGTTACTGAACCTTCGGTGACGCGGAGCAGTGCGTCCAAGGCGCGTTCGAAGAAGGGAGGCAAGTCGTCGCGATCTTCTGGCAGCTCCAAGAACGTGATTAATAATGATCCGCTCATGCAAAAGCTCAAGGGCATTCTCGAGCCCCAGAAGGACGATTTCTTCGTGGTGGACTTGTACGCGAAGTGCCACAAGTGCGGCGTACCTATCGTGCAAGAAGGCTACTGGGAGTTGAAAACGATCCCTCCGCCTGCCTCTGTTAACAGCTTACTCGAAGCTGCCAAGAAGATCCGTTCGTCTTCCTCAAGCTCCCGCAACTCCCCGCCGCGCCATTATCACTACTTCTACTGTGGGTCTTGCTACGAAGCTAACAAAACCCAGCTGCTGCATCGTGTGGAGGTATCCGGTAACTGTGCCAAGCGCGCACGGGATTTAAGTGAGCGAATTCTTCCTCTGACCGAGAAAGCGGCCGCTGCTGAACTGGCAGAATTGGACCTACAGGAGATTAAGTTCGAGGCGGTCCTGAAGTTCGTGGATCCTTCGCTGGAGGTTGAGGAGGAGCCTCAGGTTAAGCAAGAAACCAAGTCGGAGGGCGAGGCGGGAAGTGAAAAGCCGGAAGACAGTGCTAAAGAAGCTGATGGTTCCAAGACTGCAGCAGAAGCTGCTTCCGCCGAAGCAACCAGTGAACCCACTAATGCTGACGGCAAACCTGTAGACGCGGCGGGTGCTTCAGCTTCTTCCGAGAAAACTGCAGAACCCTCCGCAGGAACTGAGAAACAGGCTGGTGAGAAGCCCGACACTAGCGACGGTAAGACGATAGAGCAGACCAAGAAGGATGCGAATGCGGAAACAAGTGTGGTGCAGAAGAAGGTCAAGCGCGTGATTGGCGACGATCTGGACGATGTGATCATGCCGTGTGAAATCTTCGATACGCGAGAGGCCTTCCTGCTGTATTGCCAGAACAACCACTGCCAGTTTGACCAGATTCGTCGGGCGAAGCACTCGTCCATGATGGTGCTGTATCACTTGTTCAACCAGGGTACGACCGGTTTTACGTTTAGCTGCTCGAACTGCAAGACGACGTTGTTGAGCGGGAACCGCTGGAATTGCTCAATTTGCCCGGTGTTCAACCTTTGCGACGGGTGTCACGTGAAAACGAAGCACGAGCACCAGCTTCATTTGTTCAAGGTGGTGCCGATCCCGAGACCGGGTAATGAAGTGTCCAATGAGACAGTGAGTACGAAGGTCAAGGGGGTCGTGTCCAATGCTGCTGGCGCAGCAGGCCACGTCATCAAGCGCGAAGCGGGCAGCTCCGATCTCAAGCGCACGAAGCATGCCAAACACGCCAAGGGAGCTGGGAGTAAGAGTGGAGGTTCTCGTAAGCGCAAGTTACACCAGAGCTCTCCGGTTGCGACTGCAACAGCTACTCCTGCTGTGAAGGCCGAGGCGGCAGTCCCTGTGGCGGCTAGTGCAGCGCCGGTGGCAGAAGGTAGCGCTGCTTCGGCAGCCACTGCACCAACCGCAGCGACAGCCCCCGGCGCTGCAGCAGCTAGCGCCCCCAACGGTAACGCGGCTGAGAATGGTGATGCAGCCAAGAAGAGGCGGATTCACAACATCGACCCGCAGCTTTTGCTGCAGTTGGAGCACGCAAGCAGTTGCACGGTGCCGAACTGCACATTCTTCAACTGCAACCGCATGCAGGCTATGCTCAAGCACGGCGCGATTTGCGAGCAGCGTCTCGCGGGCCCATGCGTGCTATGCAAGCGTATTATCGGTCTTCTCTCGGCCCACGCGCGCCAGTGCACCAAGGACTACACTTCTTGCAAGGTGCCGCGCTGTGCCGACATTCGCCGCCACTTCTTGGCTCAAGTCCAAGCTCGACAGCAGCAGCTCCAGCGCGCGCGGCAGCTGCAGGCTCAGCAGGCAGCAGCCAGTAGTTCTGCTGCTACGGCTGTGGCTGCCTCCACCCCCGCAGCTACTACTGCCACAACAGCTACTCCTGCAGCCCCTGGGGAGAAGAAGGATGCGGGCTCATAGGCAGTGTCCATGGTGGAATACTTGAGGTTAGGCACTGTTGCAAAAGCCTTGAAAGTCGATGGCAAGTAGATAGAAATTTAGGATAGGTAAGGTGTCGAGCCGTCTACCTGTAGCTGGCGGCTCGAGCCACTCGTTTTGCTAATGAATACGTGTTATGTTCACTTGAATCGCTTCAACTTGGTCAGGTGAGAGTCATCTCGAGCCGCAGAGCAGTAGGAGGATGTTGCCGCTGCCACCTGACCAAAACGCTTTACAGGGACGAGAGGCTCAACCTTACAACTGTATGGGTACACGAGGTGAACATGCTTGTAAACGGTGGATTCACCGTTTGCTAGGTTTGATACATCCAGGCCAGAACCGCACTCAACTTCGCAGGGGTAAACAATTATGCTTCACACAGTACTATCCAATGCTCAAAAACCCATTTTCCCACAACAAACTGTCCGAGTATTAATAATAATGAACGTGGTGGCGGAGATCCAGCGCCTGAACGAGCGCGAGCTGGAGCTGAACGTGCCGCTGTCGGCCTCGTGGCACCAGAAGTACCGCGAGTCGGCGTGGGTCTACGTGGGCGGGCTGCCCTTCGAGCTGTCCGAGGGCGACGTGCTGTGCGTGTTGAGCCAGTTCGGCGAGGTCGAGGACATCCACCTGGTGCGCGACGGCAAGACGGGCAAGCCCAAGGGCTTCGCCTTCCTCAAGTTCGAGGACCAGCGCAGCACCGTGCTGGCCGTGGACAACCTCAACGGCTTCCGGCTGCTGGACCGCGTGCTGCGCGTGGACCACGTGCTCAAGTACAAGCTGCCCAAGGAGCTGCAGGAGGACAGCGACTCGGAGGACGACGAGCAGACGGAGCGCAGGCCGCGCGGGCTGCCGGGCCACGCGTACGAGGGCAAGGAGCTGGCCTCGGACTTCGACCTGCACAAGGGCGTGGACGTGTTCGCTGCGCCCGAGGAGACCAAGAAGGACAGGAAGAAGCGCAAGCGCGAGGAGAAGAAGGCCAAGAAAGCGGCCAAGAAGCTCAAGAAGATCGAGAAGAAGCAGCAGAAGATCTTTCAACAAGTGCAGAAGAGGAGGCAGGAGCAGAGGGGCAAGGAGGAGCGGGAGGCCGAGAGCAAGGGCGATGAAGCAGCGGCGGCGGCGCCCAGTGCCACGGGCTGGAGAGGGAGACTGGAACCTTCGGCCCCACGACCGAGACGCGATACGGACAGGAAACAGGGCGACGCAACGAGGGACAGACAGGAAGACAAGAGCTTTGGAGGCATGAGTCGTGTACGCTAACTTGAGGTAGGAGTTCTAACTGCGAAAGCATCGCTTAGATAATGTAGACTTACGAGTTTTCACTTCGTACCAGCTCTACTGAGCCAGACTTACAGAATCTCCATGGTTCATCTGAAATTCGTACACTTGCACCACATTTTTCATGTCTGAAGCGGTGGTTGGTTTGTCAGCCAGGTCGTCGGCACCGCCATCTTCTGCGTCGTCTTGCATGTCTTCTGGCAAGTCATAGTGCCTCTGCCCGCTGGAAACTGCAACCATGACTCTGCAAGGGTCGGGGAAGAACGACACCCCGTTCGCGCAGTCCGGCAGTATAATGCTTTGATCCAGTAGCTCTCCCGTCAGCACGTCGTACAGCATAACGCGACCTGTTCGGCTCCCCGTCGCTAGATACCTTCCTCCACAGTGCAGATCGAACTCGACGCGCTGGTTCGTGTCAGCCACTCGGTTGAAAGTGTGCAGAATCTCGTTCGTCGCTCGGATATCCCAGCAATGGATGCGAGCATCACGCCGCGCAGCCGTGAACAGGAACCTCCCACATGGAGAAAACTTCACTTGAGAGATGCCGCGACCGTCGTGATCACGCAGAGCCAGCAGCTCCTCTCCTTCGTCCTCCGTGTACACGCAGGTCGTGCCGCCGTACGATCCAGCCGCGTAAATCTTAGAGTGGTCCGGATTAAAGTGTAGCGTGCTAATTAGCCCCCTCTGACCCTTACGCGAGCGCCGAGTCTTGGTCAGCGGCCTCGCCCTGAAGTCCCTACTGGGCTGGGACAGATCGAAGTACCGGATCATCCGGTCGAAGCCGGCAAAGAGCTTGGTGCCTGTAGAGTTGAACGCCAGACTCTGAGCACTCGCCAGCTCGTCCATATGGTCGAAAGCTCGGTACGAAGCCCGCAGCTCGCCCGTGTAGGCGTCCCACAGATGCACGGGCTGGTCTCGACTAGTGCTCACGAAGATGCACGAGTTCGGGTCCGCGGATGACATGAAGGGGTACCATTGGTAGTCGTACACTGTGCCGCCCTCCCTTGCCTGTAGGATGCTGGTGCTGGACTGGGACGCATCGCCGTTCATCTCGAACAGCCGCAGCGTGTGGTCGTCGCTGTTGGTCAGCAGGCAGAGGCCGTCGGGGGAGACCTTGACGCCTTTGGTGAAGTTGTTGCTGCAGGTGGCCGAGATGGCGGAGAACTCATTGGATGCAGTGAACTGCAGCTGCGGACGGATGGCCGCATTGTGGATGAAGACTTGGGGCTGCGTAGCGGACGCATCACCCGCCGACGACGTGAATGGCTCCATCAAGTTAGCGAGTGCCCACAGAACCCGCTATTAGCTTAATTATGTGAGTTTTATCCAATCATTTTATTTTGCACAAAAAGTCTTGTAAGTTCTTACCGTAGTGGTTCTCACGGAGCGTTGAATAATCATCCTACATGTGTATATTGCGATGTGATTGGACGAGACCGTGCTCTTGGGGGATGTTGTAGCATGGAAGCCGATCCGCACAGAATGGCAATGTCACCACAATTTGACGCTCCCAGCACTCTCCTCGCGAGGAGGGTGCTGGAAAGGTGAATGAATTGACTTGAGAAAAACGTAAGTCCTGGACGCCGACGCTTGGAGAGCTCGCTCTTATTGGTTAAAATTGTGAATTGTCTGCTATCGACGGATCACAAAGCAAAGCAATATGCTGGGGAGCTGCCGACTTCGTGAAGACCCGTGAGGGCGCGCGCTCCGCGTGAACGTCGCTGTTGCTGGTAGCGAAGCTGACAGCATCGATGCCACAAGTGATGTCGCTGTTGCTGGCGGGGTCACTATCGCTTGTGGTGTCGCCGCAGCTCGTCGCGAAGATGTCGACGCTGGAGTCGCCGATGCTGCAGGTGTCAAAGCTGGCGGCGGGGCGACATCTGAAGCTTGTGTTGGCGACAAAGGTGTTGCTGCTGCCGGCGTAGATGTCGCGGGCGGTGTCGATGTTGCTGATGGCGTAGCCGACTGGAGCGTGACTGCTGAAGGTTCGAGTGGACCATGAGCTGGGCTATTCTCCACAGCAACTTGACGCTTTCGCCGCTTGAATGGAAGCGACCGCATGCCTGTGCCTTCAGCTTCGCGAATGAATCTCAGCACCGTGGTAAACTTGAGCTGATTGGTTCTACGCTTACGCTTACTCGGCTTTAATTGAAGTTTGTGATAGCCAATGTTGAACAGCTCGATGGCGTGAGGTTCGCCGCGAATTGGAGGTAGTGACATGCCTGTTTGTGCTTCACCGAGTGCGTGCCGTAGGTTTTAGCCGCTCCATCTTTTTTCAGGAGATTTCCTAATGTCTTGCCGAAGCGAAGCTTTGGGTCAGATCCCGGAAAAAGTGGCCCTGGTTGCGCGCGCGGATTACATGCCAAATAAATCGCCAACGCTGTCACCCAACACGTAGATGGCGAAAACGGGTTTGCGTAAAGATGACGGGGGTCACGTGGACCTGCACCTTCCTGATTGGTCTTGGTCGTAAAAAAATATCGCTCCAACAGCGTCATCTTTGGCCAAAAAGTGCTGCGTCTGCAGGGTTTGAACAGATACCGATCGACACATGAGATTCCACTGAGTAGTTAAAAAGAGATGCGAGAACCCCCTATTGTTGCGCTCAAGAGTAGACCAACACCGCTCCTTGTACATCCAAAAAGTCAGCGGCTGCTTGTCCGAGTGTTTATGAGAGCTAGACTGATTTTGCTCGACCTCGAGTCGCTTGCACCCAGAAAAAAACTGCTTCATGTCATCGACGAATTCCACAGACAGCGCTACTCATTTCAATCGATACAGATCCTTTGTCGCGCTGCGATAGCCGCTCAGAGTCGCCGATCGGGCTGTACTTCGTTTGTACACCCAAAATTGCTCGAAACAAGCTGGAGTGAACTCTGTGAGGTTAGATCATCATCGGCATCGAAGAATTTAGCTGTATTGCGATCCTCCAGCGTCAGCGCATACACTTCTCTGATCCACTTCTTGATGCCGTTGATATTGCATGTGTACTTCTTTCTCGTCTCTTTGGAGATGCATGTGTCGTATTGCCTCCACCTCCGCGATAGCGTCCTGCGAGCTTCCATCAGCCATCTTCGCATGGCTCTTAACCCTATTGTGGTTGATGGTCCTAAAACCTTGCAATAGGCTTGGTTTTACAAATTTAATCCAGTCAAATCACACCTCTATTGATTTTGACCTATTATATCACTTGCGTAAAACCAAGTATTTTGCAAGGTTTTACAACAATAATTGCAATATGTTTTTGGTAAACTCCTGCAAAATGATATATTATGCTGCGGGGTGCGGCACAAAACCAAGCATTTATGCATGTTTTACACTTTACCATGGGGACTTCAGTTTACAAAACTCAAGTATAATTTTGAACACTAAAGGGTTAAAGTGATTTTGGCCAATCATCGTGGCGCCTTATCGTCGGCTACCGCCGCTTACGCCTTTCCGTAAGGATGCGATCCTAACTGCCCCTTTAGTGGACCTCAGTCAATGTGAGGGGTGGGAATACACCAATTCCGAAAATCATAAGCCATGGCAGGAAATCCCATATGTAACTTACGTAAATACGAGAATAAAGAATGTGTTTGATTGGCCTTTCTAAAGGTCCGAATGTTCAACAAATCAATTTATTCGTATGTGATTGGTCCGAGTGGTACCCGAACGATGAGTGAATAATCACGCATCTCTATGTTCAAACGGAGGGAATGAACCCCAAAAATCAACATGCGCGCTGATTGGCTAACAGCCATTACATTCTGCAAGAGCTCCGTGAGAACCACTATGTAGATCAATATTACCGCCACTTGAGAAATACACCCTATCCTAAGCCAATCAGTGCTCAGAATGCTGAAGCATGCGAATCGCATGTTGAGAGATACATGTCATTACAGAATACTAACATACATTTTTCAAAATTATGGCCAGGAGCGAATGGCTCATGACCGGCGCAGACGGCGCTAGTGTAGCGCGGCGAAGCTGGTGCGGCGCCCAGCAGTATTATACTAGCTGTATGTTGAGTCTGGTGCGGGAAACACTTTGGGTGAATGTTGCGTACAAGCAGTGTAGATGTAGTGTGTAGTTGCCGTCAGTTTCGGAAGTGATGGCAATGAAAGTCTGCTTCCTTCATATCCCTCGGCTTATCATATTGCTGCCAGCAGCGCTGGCTTCTTTCCCTTTGAATGGCTCTTAATGCCCTTTGTATTATCCAATCAGATGCCCTAAAACATATCCTTTGATTCTTACTTCATTTCACTATTGCGTACAATGCTGTAGTATATATGGCGCAACACTCCCACTAAAGATGCCAGCGCGCCTCTCGAAGGATCGCTCTTGACCATTCGACTTCAACGCCGTTCTCAGATTATTTCGTGTCGCATACCCAAAATTAAATTATCAGGTTGCCCAAGATACTTTTATCATAAGCAGTACAGATACCCAATATAAATCAGATCTGCCCAAACTAAGATTCATACTTTATCTTATATATTGGAGAGAGCACCTTTCCCATAAAGCTCCCTCCGCCTTTTGCCTTTGCTTCTCACTCTCTCTTCTGTCTCTGTGCCGCACAAGTGCTGGTCCTACGCAAACTCCGCAAGGGGGGATGCCGCAAGCGATAAACTGCACCGCGAGACATAAAATACTTTGCACCACAAATAATTGTTTTCAGACACAAATATGGTGGGACTTTGTGCCAAAGGCAATTTTTGATAAGCCACAAATAAAGAAACACTTTTCGGGAAGTTTTTCAACATAAGAACTGTAAAGTACAAAATGTTGATTAAAGTTAACAGTAAAAGCAAAGTTTTACAGCAAAGTTAAGATTAAAGGTCAGTTTAAGGGCTAAAACCTCACTTTTAGGTGCAACCTAACCCTAATTGTGGGCTCCTTGCCGGTCTGGGCTGCAAGCCCCGCACTCTTGAGTACATTTTACTCAACATTAAGTTAATTTTCAGTCTCTGACTCTCTCATCTGCCGCCGGCGGAAAAGTGTAGTGATCATAGACTGGATGACCGCGAGTAGCTCAAAACAATGAGGCTTTCCATTCACAGGGTCCCCAGTTAGCCTGTTGGCTGCATGTTAACCTCTGGGGCTCTGTGGCCTAGGTCACACAACTGTAGCCAGGAGAATGTGAATGAGTAAGCTTACACCTCAAAATTCTTTACGCCCATCATCACGCGATGTTTTCAAATTGACTTTGAGTCAGTGGCTTTGTGAGTGCATCTGCTATCATATCGTTGGTATTACAGTAAATAATACTGATACTTTTCTCTTCATGCTTATGGCGGGCATAGATGCCTGATATCAATGTGTTTTGTTGACGAATGACTGCATGGGTCCTTTATTATACTAACTGCAGCAGTGTTATCGCACCAACACTGTGTTGGCCATGCTTGGCCGTAACCCAACTCATTCAATAGTAGACGTAACCACATTGCCTCTCTTACACCTTCACTTGCGGCTACTAATTCCGATTCCGCTGTGGTGTGACTAATACAATCTTGCTTAACACTCTTCCAAGTAATGCATGCACCAGCAAGTATTGATACATATCCTGTAATTGATCTCCTTTGTTCATTTGTATTCGCGAAGCTCGCGTCTGTGTATAGCTCTACCTTAATAGTACTATTTTCATTGTACTCTAAGCCATACTTCGACGTTCCTTTCAAGTACTGTAGTACTCGCTGAGCCGCTCTCCAGTGGGTCTTATAATAGCAAGATAAGTACTTGCTCAACTCTCTTACAGCGTTTGCTATATCAGGTCTAGTGCCTCTTACTAAATACATTAATGAGCCAATCAGACCTCGGTAATCAAACGGCTGATCCGCTATCTGTTCGGGTGTCATATTAGTTTCTAAAACCACACTTTTAGCTTGTGGTGTCGGCTCTGTATTACAGTCCCACATCTGAAACTTTTCCAAAATGTCCTGAATGCACTTTTGTTGCGACAGACGCAGCGTTTTCCTTTTTAGATCTCGGTGGATCTCCATTTTTAGCAAATAATGCAACTCGCCTAAATCTTTCATAGTAAACTTAGCAGACAACTTAGCTTTCAGATCATTGAGAGAGAGAGAGAGAGAGAGAAGGAAGTCTATTTAACCTTAGTTATTAGCCTCCTGGTAAAGTTTGAGCCGCTTTAGCAGCTCCGGTTCATTGGTACGGCGCCAGCCCGCTTGGGGCGGAAGCGAGCTCTCTTGGCCCAATTCCACCTTCATGGTCGTAAGACAGTCGATGCAAAGCTGGAGTTCCAGTCCCTGTGTTCGTGTGTGCGCCCTGTTGCGTTCGCGTCGCGCCACTGCGTGAAGCTGTCGGAGGCAACTAGCCCACATATGCTCGAGTTGCTGCTGCGGCACCCACGAAGCCCCTTCATGAACAACCTGGTTTCTCGTCTGCCAAATGATGGCTATTCCGATGCTACAAAACGCCCACCAAATCCGGTCCAAAGCTTTTTCATAGTCCGTCGTCCGTTGCCCGTAGAGCTGGAGAACGCGTTCTTGAAACCGGCTACCGATGGGTGGTCAGGTTCTAGAAGGGAGGAAGTCTTTGTATGCTGCAAGCCGTCCGTCTGTGACTACCTGCCCAAGCCAATGAGTCAGTAGCTTTCGCCAAAAGTCTTGGGCTCTAGAGCAACCCCATACGATATGTGTGAGCGTTGTCCGTCCTTCCAGGCAGCGAGTTTTTTCAGATCATTGATCGAGCTCAAGTGTGAACCAGCGATCGTAAGGTCGTCCACATAACGGAAAACGCCAATTTGTATACCGCATACTATTGAATTGAACACTCGTCAAATTTAGAAAGATATATAAATAGGAGGGGGTATACTACCAAAGTAGCTCCGACGCATACAAGTCTGGATATTTTGTAGAGAGCTATCTACGTCCTGCACAACCTCTTTGATGACATTCTGGCAATACATGTACCAGTCTTCAAACCATGGAAATACCCATAGGTTGCGTCGAGTTGGTTCACAACGCCTGTCATGCCGTTAGATGCAAGCAGAACTTAGACCAACAACTCAAACAATTTTTTCTTTGGGTACCTTACGGTAATTTTGCGTAAAGTTCCAAAAATGGCAAACAGTACCGAAAACAAGTGTCACTTTTTCAACTGTGGTCCTTAAAAAGATAAAAATTGCTTGCCGTATTTGACAAAGTAATACTACACGTAAAATAGAAGGTGATTTTCAATTTCAAGACATCTCTTAGCCAATCAGAAGACGCTAACATGCTAAACTTCACATAAATTTCGCAGTTTCAAGAAAAATATAAGTATTCAACGTTCTATACGGTTTGGTTGAGGTATACAATTTGGCGTAGGTACAATAGCTTTGTATACTGACCACATTCTATCAGATTTGAGAGGAGGTATTCAATTCGGGAAGGGTACGTTATTTGGCGCTATCCGTTAGACGCACACGATCAGTGTGTGTGTGACTCCTTCAACCTCCCACCTTTTCAGATACAAGCAATGTTCTTTCTTGCATCTGGAAAAACCTAAATCTTTTAGAAAGGCATTTACTACTTCGTACCAAATTCTGGGGCCCTGTTTTAGGCCGTACATACTTTTCTCAAGCTTACGGACAAGCTCGGATCCATCCCGAAATCCCATTGGCTGTCGCATATAGATGCTGTCACTTAGTACACCATTTAGGAACGCTGTAGAAACGTCCATTTGATGGAGGTGTAGATCTAGAACTGTAGATAGTGCGAGCAAAAGCCGCAGGGACTCATACCGGGCTACAGGGGCAAAGACTTCCTGGTAGTCAATGCCATACAGCTGGGTGTTCCCTTGGACTACCAACCGGGCCTTAAATCTACTGTCTGAGTGGTACTTAACGTCGAACACCCAGTGACAGCCGTGCTCGTCGCCCTCCTGGAAGAGGTATTAACTTCCATGTGCCGTTCTGCCTCAAACTCTGTCGTTATTGCGCACTCCCACTGTGCGGCATATTCGCTAGCCCGCGCCTCCTTAATAGATCGCGGAATGGGAATGCGTTTCTTACCAGTTGTAACATTATTTAGCTGAGTGGAATAATCTGTTAGTCTGACGTTACACTTGCTTTTCCTTTTAGACCTCCGTCTGTCACCACTGACCCCATTTTCTGATCCCACTATTCGGGATGTCGGTGGTCGCGTGGCAGATGCTGACGTTGAGGCTTCAACTTCGGTGTTCGTTTCAACATCAGCGTCTGTTTTAGGTCGCTTACCTAAATTCTGTATGACCTTTTCCTCTTCCAGATCCACGCTACTGTCTTCAGTAGGGAACGACATTTGTATCATTGCCTCTGTACTTGTTGAGCTAAATTTAACGTCGCGACAGATTAGGTACTTATTTGCCTTGACGTCTAGCAGCCGATACCCCTTATATTTGGGTGTCAGCCCCAAAAGCTTACACTCGATTGCCCGATCACCGAGGTTTGGGTCTGTTCGCTTTGTTTTTTGTACATGTGCATAGCATGTTGTACCCCAAATTCTGAGTGCCAAGCCATTGGGCTTCTTACGATGCAGTAACTCATACGGGGTCTTCATCCCCAGCCGGGCCATTGGTAGGCGGTTGGTGGCATCTACAATATAGTTTAAGGCTTCAGGACACCACTTAGCCGGCATATTGGCCCCTCTGAGTGTACAACGAACACTAGCCATCATCGTCTGGTGCGCTCTTTCTGCACTCCCATTCTCTTCTTGTGACTCTACATTTGAACTTTGAAAGTCTAAACCGAGTTTAGAACACAATTTAGACACCTCTGAATTCAGAAATTCAGAACCACCGTCGGTTCTAATTCTCTTAACCTTAAAAGGAAATTGTACTGACAAATTCTTCAACAAGTCCCGAATGTTGCCGGGAACTTCTTTCAGGGATTTTACCACAAAGTACCACTTATAAGCGGTAGCGTCATCTACAACGAACAGGGCATAGTGATAGCCAAATGAGCCATATAAACCATTCACCCGTAATTTACCAGTTGAGTCCATATGGAGTGTGTGGAGTGGCTCTGTGGCCTTGGCTCCCACCATGTTCTTATAGGACATTCTTTTATCTTTCATTTGGGCGCATGTCTTACAAAAGAAATGAACCTTCTTCAGTTCAGAGTAAGGTAGTTTTGGCAGCCCTGCAATTTTCTCGTTACTTATCGTTCGGATTAACCAATCTTTACCAACGTGGCCGAGCCTCAAGTGCCATTCTTTCAAAATATTACCAAACTTACGGCTTTGGACACTAAAAAATGCTCGTCCGGACTGGCTTTACATTCGGTAAGTAATAAACTTCGCCTATGACCACTGCTGCAAACAGTAGCTTGAAGTCTTTTCCTAAGAAAAAGAGGAAATCGCCAGATTTGACTGAAAGTTCCTGTACCCTTGCTTTGCCAAATAGTATGCACTTAGTAAATTACTGTCGCAATTCCGGTCATATGAGATATCCGTTAAACTTAACGCACTCAAATATCCTTCAGGATTTAAAACATTCAGTTTTATTGATCCCTTAAGTGCACTATGTGAAACGGTACCATTACCGTAAGTGAAGACGTGGCTCTGGCTAGGCTGCAGGCTTCCTTCAAACCAGCTTCGGTCTGAAGTTATAGCTCTGCCTGCTCCTGTATCCACGACCCACATATCGTCCGTTAACTTTAGGTTCTTTAGGTACCGTAAATAATCCGTATGAAATTTACGTGCCATCTCAACTTCGTCCATATTTTGCGGCAACGGCGACTCCGCCGACTTGCCGTTGTCCTGATTGGCCGGATCCAGACTTCTGAGGTCGTCCACAATTTGGTCCTCCGTGGCCCTCTCGAGTGCTGTCTTGCCGTCCTCATGGAGGCGCTTCTTGCTGTCGGTCACGACCGCCTTCATCGTGTTAATTGCGGTTTTCTTGGCCTTTTTCGCACCGGGAGCCGTTTTGATGTCGGTCCGGAACAATGGTCTACCTTCGCGGTTCGGGTTCCGGTCAAACGCCATAACAGGACAGTCGGCCTTGAAGTGTCCACCTTTGAAACAGTAGAAACACGTCCGTCCCTCTTTTCCGTCCGCATGCTTGCGCTTTTCACCGTGTTTGGTCCTCATATTGTTGATGGGGATGGACGCACTTCTGTCCATGTTCTGACAAATATCCTTCTTTGACTTTTCCTGGAAAATGCGCCTCAGTGCGCTTTCCACCTTCTCGACAGTGAAGTCGCCCTTTTTCATGGAGATGGACTATGCCCAAAACTCATTCGGCAACTGGGACAGGACCTCCACTCATAGCCACGATTCAGTGACCATGTCCTCTCCCAGAAGCTCTTGCGTCTTTCTGTTGATTTCATTGCTTGCTTTCTTCAGCTGGGCGAAGAGGGTGTGAAGATCGCGCCACTGGCTCCGAGCCAACCTTGACCAGGCTCGGGTCAACTCAAGCAGACCAGCTGCATCGCCCTGCCCATAGTCCTTCTCGAGGGCCTTCATTACCTCGCATGAGTCTAGGTTCGACACTAGGTCTGACAGAGTTGACAGGAAGGAGTTGGGTAGGACCTGATTTAGCAGGTTTTGCAGGTCTCCGCGACCCCTTTCCCAGTCCATCACGTTCCAAGCCATGATGTTCTTCTCCTTATCGGTGAGGTCACTATCCCCAGGGACTGATGGCGGCTTCTCCGGGCTTCCATGGAGGCAGTCGACCATCAAAACGTGGACAGGGGGCAGCGTCTTCTCGAGTTGCTTGCGCTTGTACAACTGATCGAGGTGATTGACGTGCGTCAACAGCTTATCCTTCCACATAGCGAAACCTTTGCCGTTGAAGGCCTCCAGGCCGCCAGCGCTCTTCTTCTCGGTCGTCATCGACGTAGGTACTTGAAATGTTGCGTACAAGCAGTGTAGATGTAGTGTGTAGTTGCCGTCAGTTTCGGAAGTGATGGCAATGAAAGCCTGCTTCCTTCACATCCCTCGGCTTATCATATTGCTGCCAGCAGCGCTGACTTCTTTCCCTTTGAATGGCACTTATTGCCCTTTGTCTTATCCAATCAGATGCCCTAAAACATATCCTTTGATTCTTACTTCATTTCACTATTGCATACAATGCAGTAGTATATATGGCGCAACAGTGAATCCTATCAAAGTGAGCGCACCCGCCTTCTGTGCTGGGTACGGGTGCGTTCCTGAAAGCTTCTGTTCTATCTGATGCCCTGAGCGCCGCCTAGCACTCTACCGGCTAGAGCTCATGCGATATTCGCAAACGGAAAGAGGCGTTTAATGCTGCCAACAAAGGGCCAGCAGCGTGCGACCTGCCAAGGCTTAGTGTACTCTTCCGACATAGCGTTCGCTACCATGGCACCCGCACTCGCACTGCGACGCTTGCAGTGACGTTCGTCAGTATTTAGGAATGGCTTCATTTGTCGGAAAATGATTAAAAAATAGAGTTTGGGCTGAGGCATCAACTCCGCAAGGGTACCTACCCCTTGAAGACAGGTTAATTACTATGTGTCCTGTTTTAAATTTATTTTAAAGGATAATTGGTTACTAGCATTAACTTTGGTAAAAGTGCCCAGAAAGCTTTTCGATGAGATACACCCTAACGCCTTTTGGGGAATAATCTAAAGGGCGCTTTATGTAGCCTTTTGCCGCGAAATGGTCAATACGAAGTCGGCCTACTGCTTGTAGACCAGGGTGAGGGTTTAAATTGAGGTTTTTAACTTGTTACTTTTCCGGTTGTTCACCTAGGTCATCCAAGGCCAAGACAAATAAAGGTTTCCGCAATATACTAGGCTTACGTGCAAAAGGCGACAAGTAAAGCAAAAAAAGCATTAAACTAGTCCAATCCTTCACATAGCTATCCGTTAGGGACAACCGTAAGGCTTGTTAGCACAATAGACTAGCAAAAAGCGTTCATGTCGATATTCAAGTCTTTATGGCTAGCAAAATGCGTTAATACCGCTAAGTTTCTACGGATGTGAAGTCGCAGGTACCGCGAAGAGCAGTAACTCTAGCCCAAGGTTTGTAGCAGTAGTCGAGCTGAAAATCGCAGTAGCAACTCGAGTCGGTCGATCGGAGATCTTATAACCATGGTCCGGCGAAAATGGACCGACTTGTGCTACAATATGTGAAGCTTGAAGATTGAGCTGTAGCTGCACGCAGAGGCCGCGAGAGAAGATTGACCGCGATGCCCAAGTGTATAGATTGTTCGATGCAAACTGCAAAGTGCTATTAGCGGGTTGAGGCCTTTTTGCTGTCCGTCGGGGGAGTACCCAAGGCAGTGCTAAAGTAAATAAATTTGATGGGTCAATTCACTTCAAGTTGAAGCGAAGTGGGTTGACGTGCACCATACAAAAGTCAATGTGCCGTACAAAGGCAGTGCACCATGGTCATGTTTCCTCGCTTGTCTACTTGCTGGGTGAACGTGGCTAAGCACATAAGATGTTTACACCCCACAAGTTGTAGTTGAGCGGTTTCAGTCTCGACGTGCTCGTCGCATGTCTCGGTCCTGACATTTCCGCCGCCCACTGGAACTGGAATTATCGGCACGTTTGTGAGTCGGATAGCAAAAGACCGGAAATAATCTATTTAAGTCGATCGTTAAACCGCATCAGAATGTTTTGACCAAACGTGCAAAAACCGCCCAAATTGTTGCAGGTTGACGTCAAGTGCTGAAAGTGCTGACGTACCCTTAGAAAATTCGATCCGTGCGAAGCTTCGCGTGCATCTATGATTGCAGCGTATCTTCCAAGATTTTCGACATCGTCGACCTAGACAAGTCGTGGGACGAGGAATAACCGTTTGCATAGAGCATGTCACAGACCTGGAACTGGTCACTTTGCATAACCAGCCGTTTACTAAGTATGGACCTGCGTGCAACACTCTTTGAGCCCCGCTCAACTCTGGTAGCACTTGCGGGGAGAAAATCTCTCTGCTGCAAGGCATGTATTTGAACTCGGGGTGTAAGTGTCTCGTCAGCGTGACCAACCCAGCTGTTGGAGAGACATTTTTACATTGGTAGAGCAGCATATTAATTGTGCGCTGACCGTGAGAAAGAAATAGAGATCAGACGTGGTGGAAGTTCAGTTTGCGTCTGACCCCGGTGACATCCCAATTACCCAGTCTTGAAGCTGGTTAGCTTTTTTTCGGCTTAGCACAAACTTCGACTTGTGACGTCTCGCCTGAAGAGCTAGGTGTTGGCGGGAGCGTACGCCAACGTTCGTAAGGACAAGGTAACAAAGTTCGTTGGTCCGTTCTGCAGCTTGTTGGGAGGGGGGGCAACCCAGGCAATACGGGCAAGGCTTGGTGAGACCTCTACAACAACCTCTACAGCTTTATAGCGAAATCAAATCGGATTCTTGAGGCGTTGTTAAAAAGGGCAACATTAACGAGTCTGAGCACCCGGTGGAGAAAAATTTCATCATCAAGATTGCTGAGGCTTCGCCTAAAGATCCTCACAGGGCTTTGTCGCGTCCATCTAATAGCGTTTCTGTAATGGGCCTACCTTGGCTCACTACTACGGCTTACACGTATGCGCACGTGTATGAGGAAGCGTAGGTTTCTACTTGAGTTAAGTATACTCGAGATCCACGAGTATACTTTAAACAAGATAAAGACTACAAGTAGCGGGTTTTGGTAAAAGATGAGAACTGCTATTTTTGTTTTGTTTCTGA